GCAGAGGAGGGCTCCCTGCTGAGCAGAGAGCCTGATGAGGAACTCGATCCTAGGACCCTGAGATCATGACCTGAGCCGAAGGCAGAGGCTTAATGCACTGAGCCGCCCAGACACCCCAAAAAGTTTTTATTTTTATAATGTCCAGTTTACCTATTTTTAATTTTGACTCTACAGTTTTTTGGTGTTCTAGCTATGGAAGCATTGCCAAATCCAAGGTCATGAAGATTTATCCTTATATTTTCTTCTAAGAATTTTATGGTTTTAACTCTTACATTTAGGGTATTGATCTATTTTAGGCTTTTTTGTTTGTTTGTTTGTTTGTCTTTTTTATATACTATGAGGTAGGGGGTTCATTTTCATTATTTTGTATTTGGATATTGAGTTGTCCCAGCACCAGTTGTTGAAGAAGACTATTCATTTCTCACTGGATCCCTTTGGCACCCTTGTTGAAAATTATTTGACCATAGTTGTTTTGAGTTTTTTCCTGGACTCTCAGTTCTATTCCATTGATCCACATGTCTATCCTCAAGTCATTACTACATTCTTTTGAGTATTGTAGCTTTGTAGTAAGATTTGAAATTGTGAAGAATGAGTCCTCCAACTTTGTTCTTTTTCAAGATTGTTTTGGCTGTTTAGGTTCCATGTAATTCTATATGAATTTGTCTTTTCCAAACTAAAAAAAAGACCATTGGGATTTTGATAAGGATTGCATTGAATCTCTACATTGCTTTGGATAGTATTACCATGTTCGTGTTTTCCAATTCCAGGAACACAGTGTGTTTTTCCATTTATTTACATCTTTAATTTTATTCAACAGTATTTTATAGTTTTAATGTACTAGTCTTATACTTCTTGCTTAAATTTGTTCATCAGTATTTTATTCTTGTTGATAAGATTGCAAATAAATCATTTTCTTAATTTCATTTTATTTTGGGATTGCTCATTGCTAGTATATAGAAATACAATGGAGGTTTTTTTTTTTTATATATTTTATTTATTCATTTGAGACAGAGAGCATGAGCACAGGTGAGGCAGAGGAAAAGGGGGAAGCAGACTTCCCGCTGAACTGGGAGTCTAGTGTGGGGCTTGATTCCAGGACCTGGAGATCATGACCTGAGCCGAAGGCAGATGCTTAACCATCTGAGCCACCCAGGCACCCCCCCCCCTCTTTTTTTTTTTAGAAATATGATGGAATTTTGCATATTTATCTAATATCCTGTAACTTTGTTGAATTTATTAGCTCTGATAGTATTTTTGGGAATTCTTCAGGATTTTCTATATACAAGACCAAGACCATAGGCGAATAAATATAGGTGTACGTTTGTTCTTAGTATTTTCTCATGATCTTTTTAGTTTCTGTAAGATTTTATAGTCATGTCCCATTTCGATTTCTGATTCTAGTTAGTCGTATCTGTTCTTTTTTTATTGTCAGTCTAGATAAAGTTTTGTCAATTTTATCAATCTTTTTGAAGAACCAACTTTTAGATTAATTCTTTTGCTTTTCTATTCTTGATTTTGCTTATCTCTAATCTGTGTTATTTTCTTCCTTCTACTAGATTTCAATTTAGTTGGCTCTTGTTTAAATTTGAAGAGTAATGTCAGGTTATTGTTTTGAGGTTTTTTCTTTTTTTTTTTTTTAAATATAGGCATATTTGCGCTAGATTTCCCTCTGAGCATTGCTTTCCCTGCATCCCATACGTTTTGATACACTGTGTTTATCTGTCATAGCCCCGTCCTGAGTTATGTGTATTTTATTTAGTTCTTCAGTATTTTATTTCTATTATTAAAACACACATATAAAAATTATAATAGCATTATTGTTATTTATATAGACAGTGTTTATTTGGATTTTTCTTAGAGTTATTAATTTACTAGCTTACCATTTTTCTGGCATCTCAGGATTTCCCTCTGGTATCGTTTTTATTCTCTGCATTCTTTAGAAATTTCTTTCATGTAGGATCTATTCATTGTAAACTTTCAGTTTTTTAAAAACTTTTTCTTTTTAAAGATTTTATTTATTTATTTGAGAGAGAGAGAGAGAGTGTGCACAAGCAGGGAGAGCAGAAGAGGAAGAGAGAGAAGCATGCTCCTTGCTAAGCAGGGAGCCCGATGTGGGGCTCGATCCCACTGGGATCATGACCTGAACTGAAGGCAGACACTTAACTGACTGAGCCACCTAGGCACCCCTCAGTTTTTTAAAATCTTAAAATATCTTTCTCTCACCCTGCTTTGTGAAAGAAATCGTTTTGAGCTTATATAATCATATGCTGAGAATTAATTTTCTTTTTTTTAACATGACTTCTGCCAGTGTTGCTATTGAGTAGTCTGCTGTGTATCTAATGTCAGTACCCCATGGGTGATCTTATCTCTCTTGCTTCACTTTTATATTTTCCTTTCTTTTTAGAATTTTTGTACTTCTACTACATTGGGTATAGATTTGATTAATTTTGGTACATTTTGTACTTTATCTGTGGATTCAGTGTTGAAAAATTGTTAGCTACTTTCTCCTCAAGTATTGTCTGTCAGCTGTTTTTTCTATTTCTTTTCTATTCTTCTGAAATTCCAATTATAAGTATGTTATACTTACTCTATTTTGTTTAAGTCTTAAGTCTCATCATGTTTTTTATCTTCTGTTTTTCCTGTGATGAATTCTGGGTAATTTTTAAAAATATGGCTTCTAATTTAATAGTTCGTTCTTCCAAATTTATTCTATTTAATCAATCCATTGACTTTTTTTTTTTTAATTTCTGAAAGTTCTGTTTGGTTCTCTTTCAGATTAAACTTTTCAGTCTTGTTGCTTGCTTATTCCTGTTATTCATTCAGTTTATTTCTTTGAGTTTAAAATAGTTATTTTATATTCACTGTTAGATGGTTCCAATATTTGAAGTTTAAGGAGGTGTCTGACTTTGCTGACTCTTTCTTTTGAAGGTTTATTTCCTGTGTTTTTGGCACTCTGATTATAAGCTTATATTGAATCTTAATATGAAAGGAAACTAATGCCTTAATTGGGTTTGGGTTCCTCCAAATAATAGCTCCGTTTGGTCTTACCAGAAGCTGGGCTAAACTATTGTCTCAAGATCTTTCAGGTTCCTAGTCTTATCTTGGGAATTTTAATTTCCTCTCCCCTAAGAGCTACTTATCCACACCCCACTTTCCCAGCCATAAAACTTGTGTGTTAGTACTGCTGTTGCAGAAATTTTCCTCTTTGCTTGTGCTTTTCACTTGGGTTTTGGCTCACAGTTTTTGCTTTTCTTTTTTCTTTTCTTTTTTTTTTTTTGGTGGGGGAGGGGACATAGACAGCAGGGAGTGGCCTTTTGATTTTTGTTACATCATGTAACAGCTCCTAGTCATAAAGTATTTTTAGACCCACTTTCTTTTTTCGTTTTCTAGCAAGAGAGCCTTCTATATTATCTAATCTACCATATTTCCATTAGTGGAACTTTCTTTTTATTTTTTAAACTATATATAAAACATATTATTCCTAAGTTTTATATATGTGAAAAATTCAAAATGGAACAGAACCAGAACATTATAAAATAAAATTGTCCTTAACCTGAGAGGGACCTATAGGTTTTTGGGATTTTTGTAATGAATTAGAATACAAGTGGTAATTTAAAATCTTAAAAGAGAAACAACTTTAAGATATTTTAAAGTTATATATTAAAAATAAGACTGATTTTTAATCTATTACAATTTATATTTGAATAGAAATATTTATAATATTTTGGAAATATGAAATGGCACACCTTGTAGATTTTCTGAAATGGTTAATTTTACAAATGTATGTGTGGATGCTATCAAAGAAAAATGTTTTCGTGTGTTCAAATATATATATCAACTAAGTCTTAAGTACAAGGTATAAATTTAAATTATAGCATAGGGTGACTTTATTGTGGTGTGATGTGGTTACATGTGTTAAAATCCACGGAACTACATAGCGAAAACAAAAAAGGAAGTTCAATTTAATGCCTGTTAATTTAAAAATAAAACTTTCAGGATTTTTAAGAAGACTTTGTGCTGTTTTATTAAAAATAAAATTAAGTGTGTGGGTTCTTAAAAAGATTCTATGAAGTTTATTTTATATTATAAATTTTCCAGTGTTATTCTTCACCAGCTTTGTTTTGACCTTACTCCAGTTTTGAGATTTAAAGCATCATTACTTTCAGATAATCCAGAATCTAGTATTTATTATATTATAGTAGGCCAGGGTTTCTGAACCTCAGCACCATTGATATCTTTGTTTTGGAGGCTGCCGTGAGCATTCCAAAATATTTAGTAGTACCCCTAGCTTCTCTCCATTAGATTTTAGTAGCACTCTTCTCTCATTTTTGACAACCAAAAATATTTCCAAACATCGCCAAATATCCCAAGGGGGCGGTGTGTGTGTGTGTCTGTGTCTGTGTGTGTATGGGTGTGTGTGTAAAGCCAGGTCACCACTAGAGCTAACCACTGTACCAAGCCTAAGTGGCTCAGACTTCTGGAATACATATTTACTCATTTTCAAAGTTTGTCAACCCAGTATTAGTGGTATGATGTGCATTATGGTAAGATCTGTTTGTATATAATCTGTCTATACCAAAACATCTTTTCTAAAATTATCTAATGCTACAATAGTATGTGCTCAACTCATAAAATTAAGAACCTTTATTTGCATTAAATCTTTATAAAATGAGAATTTTAGAAGTATTTGAAAGGGTAAAAAGTACCTGTCCCGTAACAACAATCTTAATTAACCAGTACATGAGTTTAATGAAGGGTAAGATGAGGAAACTACATAATGGTAATCTTTGTTTTGGCCTGATCATATTCTGGTGCCTTGGCAAATCATTTAACAAAAATGTTTATTTTCTTAACCTATAGAATTTTCTTAATCTGTAGAATGGAAATTATTTAACCTGAATAGTATGAGTTAACACAGTAGGAGAAATGTGAGATTTGTTTAAGACAAACATTCCATAAAAATGTTAAGTGCTTTAATCAGATACTTACATTTTTTTCAGCTATTAACTAATAGAAGAAAATGGAATTGAATATACCAGCATGGAACAATCTAACGATTCCCTAAGAGTCAACCATAATGATTCTGAAGAATCAAAAACAGATTCTCAAGTATATGAGGTAGGAATTTAACTGGGAGCTTTTTTCCATTCCATTTAACAACTTCTATATTTTTTAAAGATTTTATTTATTTATTTGATAGATAATGCAAGCACGGAAAGTGGCAGGCAGAGGGAGAGAGAGAAGCAGGCTCCCTGCTGAACAGGGAGCCCTATGTGGGGCTTGATCCCAGGATCCTAGGATCATGATCTGATCCAAAGGCAGATGCTTAACCAACTGAGCCACCCAGGTGCCCCCATTTAATAACTTTTTAATGTATAAGAAATAGTATTATATTTAATTTTATTCAAGAATGTTACAATTTATCCACAATTCTATCATACACTTAACTTTATAATATAGAGCTTTACTTAAAAGCAAAGCTTTTTTTTTTTTTTTTTATTTTACAGAAATCAAAAGTTGGCAGAGAGAGAGGAAAGCAGACTCCCTGCTGAGCAGAGAGCCGGATGCGGGGCTTGATCTCAGGACCCTGAGATCATGACCTGAGCTGAAGGCAGATGCTTAACCCACTGAGTCACCCAGGTGCACCAAAAGTAAAGCTTTTACTTAAAAGCTCTATTATAAAAATTCTATATTCTTAAAAATCTATATATAAAGAAAAATCTGTGTTTTGAATTATATATCATAATTTCAGGATGTGTTCCCATGGACAACTTTATTTCAATATGATTGAAATAAAATATAAAAATCAACAATTTCAGTTTAGAACAGCTTTCTGTCTATATCAGTCTGTGTGAATTGACAACTCTTGTAAAAAATGAAGTGAATAATTAACTGAAAAATTAATCTTTCCATTTTTATTACAGCTTTCTATTTATTTTACTTTAAATTCCAGATAATTAACATATTATATTAGTTTCAGGTGTATAATATATTGATTCAACTGTTTTATACATCACCAAGTGCTCATCACAAGTGCACTCCTGGGTGCCTGGGTGGCTCAGTCTGAGGTTGGGCATCTGACTGTTCATCTCAGCTCAGGTCTTGATCTCAGGGTTGTTAGTTTGGGCCCTGCATTGGCCATGGAACCTACTTTAACAAAGTATAAAAACAAAAACAAAAACAAAAAAAATTGTAAAAACAAAAAACCAAAAAATCCCCCCAAACAAGTGCATTTCTTAATCCCCATCTCCTATTTAACCTGTCCACCCCATCTCCCCATCCCCTGCTCTAGTAATCATCAGTATGTTCTCTTTTATTAATAGTCTGTTTCTTGATTTCTCTCTTTCTCTTTTTCCCTTTCCTCATTTGTTTGTTTCTTAAATTCCATATATGAGTGAAATCATATGGTATTTCTCTTTCTTTGACTGACTTCACTTAGCATTATACTCTAGCTCCATCCATGTTGTTGCAAATGGCAAGATGTCTTTCTTCTTTTTTATGGCTGAATAATATTCCATTGTGTCTTATACCACATCTTCATCAATTCATACCACATCCATTCATCAATCATTGGATACTTAGGCTGTTTCCATAATTTGGTTATTGTAAATAATGCTGCTATATAAACATATGGGTTCATGTATCCCTTTGAATTAATGTTTTTGTATTTTTGGATAAATACCCAGTAATGTGGTAGTTATATTTTTAATTTTCTGAGGAACCTCCATACTGTTTTCACAGTGGCTAGTAAACATTCTTTGTTTGTTTGTTTTTTTTGATTGTAACATTACGGGCACTGGGCTGGTTCGATAGAGCCTGCTACTCTTGGGGTTGTGAGTTTGAGTCCCATGTTGGGTGTAGAGATTACTTAATACCTTAAAAAAAATTTTTTTTTTTAATTTAAAAGATACAGATTGTGACATTATATTTTACAAACACCCTTAGTGCTTTTTTTTTTTCCTTACAAAAGCATCTAACCTGCATGGACTCCAGGGATCCTTCCTTTGGACAGAATGGTTCTCCTACTAGAGTTTTACCCATCACCTCTCATGAAGCAGATAATTCACTCACATCACAGAATATACCAGGGGCCCTGACTCAGACACAGACTCTTTCTGCAGAACAATTCCATCTAGTGGACCAAAATAAGCAACCTATTCAATATGAACTCCAGTCATTGGGAGATTCTAATGCACAAATGGTGAGTGTATTTTATAAATAATCAGTTTTATGCTATTTAGCAAAATGTATTAACCTTACTAGGTGACCTTAATTTCTTTAAACTGTTGATTTGCGTTGCTTTGAAAATACTGTTTCCATGACGTTCATTTTTATGTTACCTGAAGATTTTAAAAGATTTCATTTTAGGACTACTAATAGAATGTTAAACTACTTCCCAGTTACTAGGTCTAGGTACACTGTTACTTTGAGATCAGTTGGAAATGTATCATAATCTGTGACTAGTGCCAGAGTTTACATGTAACTTACATTTATTTTTGTATATGCATTTGGCTGAACTCAAGGTTATTGCTTTACCCGTCTCTCGGTCACTAACTTGCATGCCACAGGTTGGTATGCCTTCTTGAAGCAAAAGAAAACAATGGAAATAGCAGTGGTATACTGGCAAGTAGACATAGCTTCGCTGAAGCTTCGTGTCATGTAAGTAACAGTGCATATAAAGGTGAAAATGCTGCTTTAAATTGTTTCTGAAGTATTCATGGCCAAGTTTATAGTTTGAGTAGAAGAAATGAAAGATGGTTTTGTTGGAAATTACAGAGAATTATTGAGAAAAACTTTGTTTCTCTCTGACTACTAAGAATATCCTTACATTAAAAAAAAAAGAATATCTTTACATTAATAATATGAAGAATAACATATGTTTTGTTTACCTGTTTTCCAAATTTTCTACAATGGGTATTAATTACATAATGGAATTATTTATTATTATTTTTTAAAGATTTTATTTATTTGACAGATCATAAGTAGGCAGAGAGGCAGGCAGAGAGAGAGGAGGAAGCAGGCTCCCTGCTGAGCCTGTTGGGGTATTCGATCCAAGGACCTGAGCTAAAGGTAGACACTTAACCAACTGAGCCACCCAAGCACCTTAGTGAATTTTTTCAAAGACAGTAATCTGATTGTACATCTCTAACAGGATATAATCTAGAAACAAAATGTATAAACTTTCAATGGATTTAATATTAATAATAATCTTAGTATTGTTATTCTGAAGCTATTATATATCAAGTATAGAACAAAGCATATAAATATTTGTAGGATGATGCCCCCTTTTTCTTCCTGACACTGCTTGTTGTACCTCCTCTATTTTTTCTTGAACAATCTTATAAGATGTGTATTAATTTTATTAGTCATTTATAAAGATTTTATTTATTTATTTATTTGTCAGAGAGAGAGAGAGCACAAGCAGGCAGAGAGGCAGGAAGAGAGAGAGGAGGAAGCAGGCTCCCTGCTGAGCAGAGAGTCTGATGCAGGGCTAGATCCCAGGACCCTGGGATCATGACCTGAGCCGAAGGCAGAGGCTTTAACCACTGAGCCACCCAGGTACCCCAAGAGCAATTATAGAGTCAAAGCAAAACTGAGTAGAAGTACAGTGATGCTTAAAAAAACCCTGCCCCTATACATGCATGGTCTTTCCCATTTTCAAGATCTCCCACCGTATGGAGCTTTTTTTTAAAAAAAATTTTTAATGTGATTTTTTGATGTAGAAGTTATCAAGGAAGTAGTAAAGATTCTGTAGTGGGTGAATCTGCAACAAATGAAGAGGTTTTAAAGTGAAGCAGGGATGGTAATTTGGACTTATGAGATGTATTGTACAGTACACAAAGAGCCCAGTAAATATGACTACTTATTAGTCAAGGTTTTCTGATAATGTTCATGGTCTGCCTCAAATAGAATGCATTGCAACAGATGACTTTTCAAAACTCTGATATCATAGCAAAGATTAAAAGTAACTTTCTTTTAAAATAGGAAAAGTAATATTATTGTCACCATTATCAAATTACATGAACTGGAAATAGTTTTCTAGGTACCAGATAGAAGGAAGCTATGGAAGGAGAAAGCTAAGGAAGGAGAAAGTGGAGGAGGCTCTCCTCCACTCTACATAGGAAACATATTTCCAAAAGTAAGAGGTATTCCACACATCTTTCTTAATTATGAAATTTTCATATGAGTAAATAAATTATAAATATATGTGTTTTATTTGGATTTAGTAGATTCATTTTCTAAGAATGAATGGAATATTTTTTTACGAGTATTTGATCTTATTTAAGGAGAAAGGAATTTAAAAACCATGTTATTACTGTTGCCTTTTAAAGCCCAGCAGTATTTCTTGTATTGTTTTTGTCTTCTTTTAGGTTAAGTAAAATCGTCAGATAATGGGAAGCAGTACAGAATAGTTGTTTGAATTTGGGTTTGAATTTCAACTCACCACCCTATCTTGCATGAGTTGTGTAACCTCATATGACAGTATCCTCAAGTATAAAATGTATATACTTCATTTACATATGATAGGGAATACATACAGTAATGCATGTAAAGTCTTGCCATTTAGTATGCATTCAACAAATGTCAAGCAATTATTGTCATCAGAGTTTACAGTTACTTTTTCATGATGAAGTGATAAGAGGTATGGCAAGGTATTTTTATCTCAAGAAACTTGATAAACTGGGGGAGGGAAACAATTACTAGTCTTAATTTCTGAGAAATGTTTACAGTTAATTGTCCCTAAAGGATCTACTTCATTGAAATTTTTTTCAAATTTAATTTTTTTTCAATTAAAAATTTTTTCCAATGACCCTCTTAAAACTAGAACTGCAGTCTCTGTCACGCATCAGTTATGTTTCCATGTTTTATAAAACAGAAAGGCTGTCTTACCTCCAGGCCGGAGATTGGGAGGCTGCCATTTTCATTCCTATCCTGCAGGGCTCTACAGAAAGTGTTCAGGGAACAAAAGAGCTCCTGAGAGCAAACGGGAGTAGATTACTTAGCCTGGCCCCTGGCAAGGGCAGTGCAATTCCGCCTCGGGCAAAAACATTTGAGAATCAACCCAGAAGATCAACAAGAACATCCACCCAAGACCAAGCTCACTGATCAAGGAGGACAGTGGAATTCCAGAGGAGGAGAAAGCAAAGCATGGAATTCATGGCTTTCACCTCATGATTCTTTAGTCTTGCAAAGTTAATTAAATTTATTTTATTTTTTTCTTATTCTAATTTTATTTAACGTCTCCTCTTTCCTCTTTTAAGGTTTTTTAATTAGTTTATCTTAATACTTTCTTTAAAAAAAACTTTTTAAACCTTCATTATTATAGTCATATTTTATCCTTCATAGTATCTAACTTTATTTTTTGTATACATAAAGGGTTTTTTCTTATACAAAAATTTTGGGATACAGTTTCTTCCAATAGATCAAAATATACCCTAAATCTAGGATAGGGCTTTGATATGGTCTCCAGCCTGAGCAAATTCTCTCCTCTTTCTTTTTTTATTTTTTTTATTTTTATTTTTTTTTTAAGATTTTATTTATTTATTTATTTGACAGACAGAGATCACAGGTAGGCAGAGAAGCAGGCAGAGAGAGAGGAGGAAGCAGGCTCCCTGCTGAGCAGAAAGCCCGATACGGGGCTTGATCCCAGGACCCTGGGATCATGACCTGAGCCGAAAGCAGAGGCTTTAACCCACTGAGCCACCCAGGTGCCCCCACTCTTTCTTTTTCCAACCAACTTATCTTAGCAATTCCTTCTTTAGAATTCTTTTTTTATTTTCATCTTTACAGTCATATTCCATTCCTTCTCATGTTTGTTCTTATTTTGGTGTATATATATAAGTTTTTCTTTCTTTAAAAATTTTGGGAGGTGGTTTCTTTTAAGAAACCAAAATACACCCCAAATCAAGTGGGTGGCTCTGTTCTATTCACCAGTCTACTATATATTTTTTTTTTAATTTTTTTTAAATTTCTTTTTACCCCTTTTTTTCTCCCCCTATTTGGGGTCTCTTCTGATTTGGTTAGCGTACATTTTTCTGGGGTCTTTCCCACCCTTTTAGTATTTTATTCTCTCCTTCATATATTCTTCTCTGGGTAAAATGAAAAGGTGGGAAAAACTCACCTCAAAAAAAAAGAACAAGAGGCAGTACCAAAGGCTAGGGACCCAATCAGTACGGACATTGGTAAAATGTCAGATCTAGAGTTCAGAATGATGATTCTCAAGGTGTTAGCTGGGCTCAAAACAGCATGGAAGATATTAGAGAAACCCTGTCTGGAGAAATAAAAGCCCTTTCTGGAGAAATAAAAGAATTAAAATCTAACCAAGCTGAGATCAAAAAAGCTATTAATGAGGTGCAGTAAAAAAATGGAGGCTCTTAGTGCTAGGATAAATGAGGCAGAAGAGAAAATTAGTGATACAGAAGACCAAATGACAGAGAATAAAGAAGCTGAGCAAAAGAGAGACAAACAACTACTGGACCACAAGGGGAGAATTTGAGAGATAAGTGATACCATAAGATGAAACAGTATTAGAAGAATTGGGATTCCAGAAGAAGAAGAAAGAGAGAGGGGCCAGAAGGTATATTGGAGTGAATTATAACAGAGAATTTCCCTAATATGGCAAAGGGAGCAAGCATCAATATCCAGGAGGCACAGAGAACTCCCCCTCAAAATCAGTAAGAATGGGTCCATACCCCGTCATCTAATAGTAACACTTACAAGTCTTAGTGACAAAGAGAAACTCCTGAAAGCAGCTCGGGGCAAGAAGTCTGTAATATACAATGGTATCATACGCAAAATAACTGAATCTGCTAAATCATACTCAAAGGGTCTGTCCAACAAGAAGATCTAACAATTTTAAATATCTATTCCCCTAACATGGGAGCAGCCAACTATATAAACCAATTAATAACAAAATCAAAGAAACACATTGACAATAATACAATAATAGTAGGGGACTTTAACACCCCCCTCACTGAAATGGACAGATCATCCAGGCAATAGATCAACAAGGGAATAAAGGCCTTAAATGACACACTGGACCAGATGGACATCACAGATATATTCAGAACATTCCATCCCAAAGCAACAATACACATTCTTTTCTGGTGCTCATGGAACATTCTCCAGAATAGATCACATCCTGGGTCACAGATCAGGTCTCAACTGGTACCAAAAGACTGGAATCATTCCCTGCATATTTTCAGACCACAACACTCTGAAGCTAGAACTCAATCACAAGGAAAGTTGGAAAGAACGCAAATACATGGAGACTAAAGAGCATCCTTCTAAAGAATGAATGGGTCAACCAGGAAATTAAAGAAAATTTGAAAAAATTCATGGAAACAAATGATAATGAAAACACAGCTGTTCAAAATCTGTGGGACACAGCGAAGGCGGTCCTGAGAAGAAAGTATATAGCCATACAAATCTTTCTCAAGAAATAAGAAAGGTTTCAGGTACACAACCTAACCCTACAGCCAAAGAAGCTGGGGAAAGAACAGCAAAGAAAGCCTAAACCCAGCAGGAGAAGAGAAATAATAAAGATCAGAGCAGAAATCAGTGAAATAGAAATCAAAAGAATGGGAGAACAATCAACGAAACTAGGAGCTGGTTCTTTGAAAGAATTACTAAGATTGTTAAACCCCTGGCCAAACTTATCAAAAAGAAAAGAGAAAGGACCCAAATTAAAAAAATCATGAATGAAAGAGGAGAGATTACAACCAACACCAAAGAAATACAAACAATTATAGAACATATTATGAGCAACTATACGCCAGCAGGTCTGACAATCTGGAAGAAATGGCTGCACTCATAGAGATATATAAACTACCAAAACTGAACCAGGAAGAAACAGACCCATAATCAGTAAGGAGATCTAAGCAGTCATCAAATATCTCCCAACAAACAAGAGCCCAGGGCCAAATGGTTTCCCAGGGGAATTCTACTAAACATTTAAAGAAGAAATAATACCTATTCTCCTGAAACTGTTCCAAAAAATAGAAGTGGAAGGAAAACTTCCAAACTCATTTTATGAGGCCACATTACCTTGATCCCAAAACCAGACAAAGACCCCATCAGAAAAGAGAATTACAGAGGCTCCTGGGTGGCTCAGTGGGTTAAAGCCTCTGCCTTCGGCTCGGGTCATGATCCCAGGGTCCTGGGATTGAGCCCCACATTGGGCTCTCTGCTCAGTGGGGAGCCTGTTTCCCTTCCTTTCTCTCTGCCTACTGTGATCTCTGTCTGTCAAATAAATAAAATCTTAAAAAAAAAAAAAAAGAGAGAGAATTACAGACCAATATCCTAGATGAATACAGATGTGAAAATTCTCACCAAAATACTGACCAGTAGGATCCAATAGTACATTAAAAGGATTATTCACCACAACCAAGTGGGACTTATTCCAGGGCTGCAAGGTTGGTGCAACACCCACAAATCAATCAATGTGCTACAATACATTAATAAAAGAAAGAACAAGAACCATATGATATTCTCAATAGATGCAGAAAAAGCATTTGACAAAGTACAGCATCCTTTCTAGATCAAAGCTCTTCAAAGTATAGGGATAGAGGGTACATACCTCAATATCTTCAAAGCCATCTATGAAAAACCCACCATGAATATCATCCTCAATGGAGAAAAACTGAGAACTTTTCTGCTAAGGTCAAGAACACGGCAGGGATGTCCGCTATCACCACTGCTATTCAGCATAGTACTAGGAATCCTACCCTCAGCAATCAGACAACAAGAAATTAAAGGCATCCAAATTGGCAAAGAAGAAGTCAAACTATCACTCTTTGCAGATGATATGATACTTTATGTGGAAAACCCAAAAGACTCCACTCCAAATCTCCTAGCACTTGTGTAAGAATTCAGTAAAGTGTCAGGATATAAAATCAATGCATAGAAATCAGTTGCATTTCTATACACCAACAACAAGACAAAAGAGAGAGAAATGAAGGAGTCCATCCCATTTACAATTGCACCCAAAACCGTAAGATACCTAGGAATGAACCTAACCAAAGAGGCAAAGAATCTGTACTCAGAAAACTATTAAGTACTCATGAAGGAAATTGAGGAAGACACAAAGAAATGGAAAAATATTCCATGCTCATGGATTGGAAGAACAAATATTGTGCAAATGTCTATGCTACCTAATGCAATCTACACATATAATGCAATCCCTGTCAAAATACCATCCATTTTTTTTTTCAAAGAAATGGAACAAATAATCCTAAAGTTTATATGGAACCAGAAAAGACCTCGAATAGCCAGAGTAATGTTGAAAAATAAAGCTAAAGTTGGTGGCATCAAAATTCCAGACTTCAAGCTCTATTACAAAGCTATCATCATCAAGACAGTATGATACTGGCACAAAAACAGACACATAGATCAATGGAACAGAATAGAGAGCCCAGAAATAGACCCTCAACTCTATGGTTTACTAATCTTTGACAAAGCAGGAAAGAATGTCCAGTGGAAAAAAGACAGTCTCTTCAACAGGTGGTGTTGGGAAAGTTGAATAGCCACATGCAGAAAAATGCATTTCCTTACACCACACACGAAAATAAGACCCAAAATGGATGAAATACCTCAGTGTGAGAAAGGAATCCATCAAAATCCTTAAGGAGAACACAGGCAGCAACCTCTTTGACCTCAGCCACAGCAACTTCTTCCTAGAAACATCGCCAAAGGCAAGGGAAGCAAGGGCAAAAATTAACTATTGGGACTTCATCAAGATCAAAGGCTTTTGCACAGCAAAGGAAACAGTCAACAATACCAAAAGACAACTGACAGAATGGGAGAAGATATTCGCAAACAACATATCAGATAAAGGGCTAGTATCCAAAATCTATCAAGAACTTATCAAACTCAACACCCAAAGAATAAATAATCCAGTCAAGCAATGGGCAGAGGACATGAACAGACACTTCTGCAAAGAAGACATCCAAATGGCCAACAGACACATGAAAAAGTGTTCCACATGACTTGGCATCAGGGAAATACAAATCAAAACCACAATGAGATACCACCTCAAACCAGTCAGAATGGCTAAAATTAACAAAAAACGACAGATGCTGGTGAGGATGCAGAGATAGGGGAGCCCTCCTACCCTTTTGGTGGGAATGCAAGCTGGTGCAGCCACTCTGGAAAACAGCATGGAGGTTCCTCAAAAAGTTGAAAATAGAGCTACCCTACGACCCAGCAATCGCACTACTGGGTACTTACCCTGAAGATACAAATGTAGTGATCCGAAGGGGAACGTGCACCCAAATGTTTAGCAGCAATGTCCACAATGGCCAAACTATGGAAAGAACCTAGGTGTCCATCAACAGATGAATGGATAAAGAAAATGTGATATATATATATACATATACAATGGAATACTATGCAGCCATCAAAAGAAATGACTTCTTGCCATTTGCAACGACATGAATGGAGCTAGAGGGTATTATGCTGAGCAAAATAAGTCAATCAGAGAAAGACAATTATATGATCTCCCTGATATGAGGAATTTGAGAGGCAAAGTGGGGGGTTTGGGGGGTAGGGGAGGAAAAAGTGAAACAAGCTGGGATCGGGAGGGAGACAAATCGTAAGACTCTTAATGTCACAAAACAAACTGAGGGTTGCTTGGGGGAGGGAGTATGGAGAGGGTGTTTGGGTTATGGACATTGGGGAGGGTATGCGCTGTGGTCAGAGCTGTGAAGTGTGTAAGCCTGATGATTCATAGACCAGTACCCCTGGGGCAAATAATATATGTTAACTTTAAAAATTTAATTAAAAAAAGGCCCTCTTGGAAAGCGGGTTGGAATGATTACAAAGAATTACTTGAGTAAGAACTGAGTCTAGTAGACCTTGGGTAAAACAGTAACACTGTGTCGATAGAAGAGTAGTATGTTAGGTAATAAAGTTTATAGGGTGTCCGAAAAGTCTGGAAATTTAAGATAAACTTGTCTTCAAGTGGAGGACACGTATTGCATGGAGCACTGGGTGTGGTACATTATCAATGAATTTTTGAACACTGAGAAAAAATAAATTAAAAAAAAATTTTGTTTTTCAAATGATGGGCTCAAAATGGTTTTTTTTCCAGCTTCAGACACCCTTTTAGTTGACAGTTCTCTAAATTTAAGATTCAATTGTTAAACTGAAGGAAGAAATGGAAATAATAAACATATAATTTTTCCTATATTTTCAGAATTTTGGGGCATTCTTTGGTATTCCTTATGGACCAAGACAGAATATATAAAAATTCAGAGATATAAAAATAAATTCTGTTTAATTAGACATCTAACAAGATACAGTATTTAAACAAATGAAAGTGACATAAAATACAGAAGAAATGACTACCATACAAATAATCCAAACACATAGGGATATCATACAGTAAGTAGAAAAAAGCAAATACATTAAGTCCAGTGAGATCCTTGTTTACATTACTAAGTAATTAGACCTCATACATGTGTAATGATTAAGACCATAGGTGGTTAAGATCATAGACATAGAGTCAAACTACCTGTTTTGAATCCCAGCTTTAACACTTACCAGCTCCGAAACAGTACTTCAGTGTTTTCATCTACAAAATGAGGGAAATAATAGTATCTACCATATAGATAGGCATGTCTTTAATCATTTATTTAGTAATAATTCTGTTAAAGCATTGTTGGCTTATGCATTTGATTTCTTTCTTAATGTTCAAGATGATTGTTGCCAACCCCTCAGAAAATGGACAGGTCCTGCGTGTAATTCCATCTATACAGACAGGAATGGCACAAGTGATTGTACCTCAGGGGCAGCTTGTGGATGTGAATAGTCCTCAGGGTGAGTAATCATGGGATATATGGGATTTAAGAATGTTTTGAAGAACAAATATATGTATCAGAAAATCACCTCATGAAAGTCTGTGCTAAAATCGATCTCTTTGGATAAGGTTGTGAACTGAATAATTAGAAAAAGATTCTTAGCCCAAATAAATTTCAAGTTCATTTTTCAACTCCTGTCTAGGTTAGCTATTTCATTTTGGAATTCTGTGAAGCTGGTTGACTCTTGCTTCCTCCCAAATGACCAGTGAGCATAAAATAAATTCTTCTTAATTATAATAACAGCTACAATAAAAAAGATTATAGTGTTAATAGTTACTGGAGAAATTATTACATTTGTATTTTTATCAATATTGTTGTTAGCCATGTGACTCATTACTCTTTTAACTATTTTTTTCATCCTCTTTGCTCTTTTTTTCCTTCAGACTCAGAAAGGAGAATCGTGCTCACCATTTTTTTTTTATTCTTTCTTAACCTATTGATAATATTCCTGTTAGTTCTCTTTTGCTTTCCTTCCTTTTCTATCTAATACCATAGCTACACTGTTTCATTGTTCGTTCATAACTAATGATTTAGAATAGATATTTTTACCTTAGTGATATGGTTCTTCGCCTTTGTTAATAGTTAAAACTTAAGGAAAAAAACAGTTTGCAGACAAAATGAAAAACATGGTATAAAAATGAAAAGAGTCTGAAACTAACGATGTATTATATGCTGGCTAGTTGAATTTTTAAAAATTTTTTTAAAAAAATGAAAAAGAGTTTTATACTTCCCTATTATGTTATGAAACTGTTAACATAACAATTGTACCACTTTTATATCCTAGCTGTTCAATATAAGCTTCAAAAATGTAATTACAAAATTTCAGTAGTTAGTATTATAATTTGAAACTAAACAAGTTTATTAGGGAAATTCTCAATAAAACATTTTAAGTTTTGGCATCTTTAGAGCATATCTTGCCTTTCATATTTCAAATCGATGAGTTCTACTTAGTTACATTCTCTTAGTTTCATTCTCTTAGTTACATTCAAGATACTGACGTTGCATTGTTCTTGTTATTGCTGTTAAGATGTCTCTGAAGAGAAGTCCAATGATAGAAATTTACCAACTGTAAGAGTGGATGTTCTAGCAGATAATACCAGTAGTTATACTCTTCATCCACAAGCATCTGTCACATTGCCCAAAAAGACAGTGGCCAGGTGAGTCCATAGGAAAGAGGAGTTCATGTTTTGAAATTATCATGGAAATCTTTTTTAAAATTATCATATCTAAAGTGAGCTGACTAAAAAAAAGATTAGAAATTCAAGAAACAGAATAAACTATCATCAAATTGTCAAATATCTTTAATTATTTAAATGACATCTTGGTAACTAGGAGACTATTTTAGAAGCTATGTCTAGGGGCGCCTGGGTGGTTCAGTGGGTTAAAGACTCTGCCATCGGCTCAGGTCATGATCCCAGGGTCCTGGGATCGAGCCCTGCATCAGGCTTTCTGCTCGGGAGCCTGCTTACCCCCTCCCCTGCCTGCCTCTCTGCCTACTTGTGATCTGTCAAATAAATAAATAAATAAAATCTTTAAAAAAAAAAAAAAGCTATAATGTCTAATGTGCTACTTTTCCTCAGTGACACTTGCCTGTTGTCTTTTGAAGCAATCTGAAAACATCTGGCACTAATAGGGGTTTTAGAATAAAGAAATATCCATTCTAAAAAAAAAGAAAAAAGAAAAAGAAATATCCGCTCTAGTTCCTAAAATGTTTAATGGTTCATCTTCTTTTTATATATTTCATTCCTCTGTGGTAAAGTAATCAAGTGTTTTTTGTTAATATGTTTCAGCTTTTATTTTTGCCTTAACACTATAATAATTTAGCCAAATGTAGATATGGATTTTGTATTATTTATATTCTTTTAACTCTTAAAGACAGCATTTAAAAATTTATACACTACTTATTACATTTAGTCTTAGAGCTTGACATAATATCATGTTAACTTAACAAGTCACCTGAAGATGTTTTATTGGCTTATTTTTTCGTTAAATGAAAAACAATTATATAATGAAATAAAATGAGAAGACTACAAAATAAGATTTGAAGGAGATATTAAAATACTTAATTTTGTTGGGGCTATAGATATTTGGAAGAAAAAACATAGGCCGTTTCTTTAGCAACTAATAAAATAGTGCTGTTTAAAGAAAATTATAATTAAAGTACACCCACCAACTCTATTGTTATTATTGCAGTTAAGATCTTATATCTTTATTTTTTCAAATTAATTCTACACCCAGCTTGGGGCTTGAACCATTTGTGCCAGCCAGACACCCCTATTATTACGGTTTCTTATTGATGACCTCAGTATATTTTCTGTAACACTGGCTAAGGGGATAAAATGGTTGAATGTCGTATGTGTGTTTGTGTGTGTGTAACTTGTAATATATACTTATGTATATTCCTTCCTTGTCCCAGAATGCTTGAAGAACCCTTTCTGGCTCCTCTCCAGCCTCTTTCTTCTAACACACCTATGTGGGCCTGCCGTCTTAGGAGCTGTGAGGTGAGTTAAAAATAATCCTTACCTAGATTCACTAAATTGATTATTGCTATAATGCATCCCAAAATGTCCACTTTTTTTTTTTTTTAAGATTTTTTTTTTAATTTATTCATTTGACAGATAGAGATCACAAGTAGGCAGAGAGACAGGCAGAGAGAGAGGAGGAAGCAGGCTTCCCGCCGAGCAGAGAGCCCGATGTGGGGCTCGGTCCCAGGACCCTGGGATCATGACCTGAGCCGAAGGCAGAGGCTTTAACCCACTGAGCCACCCAGGCGCCCCCCAAAATGTCCACTTTTGACTATATCTGTAATACTTTATTTTAATGCTACCTCTGATCTCATCTATTCTTTTATTCCTTAGTGTAAGCTCTGTTTAAGCAGAGATCATATAAATTCCTTCATGCTTCACTATCATTTCTTCTCTTGCATGTCTTCCATGAAAACTTCATTATCATGTTTTTCTACTTTTTATTTTTTGACCATTACTTTTTCTTTACTTGTACTTATTTCTTTTCATATTCTCAATGGAAATACTTTAAGTTTTGCTGTTTGACTTTGCCTTATTTCTCTACATTTTATCCCTTGGAGAGCTGATCAACTTTGTTAACTTTCAACTCTCACTTTTATAAAAATGATTTCCAAATCTGTATCATTGGTTCTTTAATTGTGCCCTTGCCCCAGATCTCCAGCTACTTAATTGGAGTTTTACTTGAATTTCACCTCAGTTCACCAGGTGCTAAACAGAAATTACTATGTCACAACTAGCTGTACTTCTTTTTTTTTTTTTTAAACATTTATGTATTAAGGTTTTTTTTTTTTTAATTTATTTATTTATTTGACAGAGAGAGAAATCACAAGTAGGCAGAGCAGCAGGTAGAGAGAGTGGGGGGAAGCAGGCTCCTTGCTGAGCAAAGAGCCCGATGCAGAGCTTGATCCCAAGACCCTGAGATCACAACCTGAGCCAAAGGCAGAGAAGTCCAACCCACTGAGCCACCCAGGTGCCCCAACTAGCTGTACTTCTAAATTCCTTGTCTGTTCAATGACAAATACCTTTTCCTTAGACATTCAGGCAGAGTGTTTTATTTTATTTTTATTTTTTTAAGATTTTATTTATTTATTTGATATAGAGAGAAAGAATACGAGCAGGGGAGTGGAAGAGGGAGAAGCAGATTCCCCATTGAGAAGGGAGCCCAATGTGGGGCTCAATCCTAGAACCCTGGGATCATGGCCTGAGCCACCCAAGCACCCCTAGGCACAGTGTTTTAGATTAAATTCTTCCTTTCCCATACTAAAGTAGTCATCTGATTCTTTTAGTTTTTCCTTTAAAGTATCTCTCTTGGGATGCCTGGTGGCTCAGTCAGTTAAGCGTCTGCCTTTGACTCAAGTCATGATCCCAGAGTCCTGGGTTCAAGTCCCACATCTGGCTCCCTGCTGAGCTAGGAGTCCACTTCTCCCTCTGCCCCCTATTCCCTCTGATTGTGCCCCACCTCCTGACAAATAAATAAATTTAATTTAATTTAAAAAGAACCTAATAAGACATTCTTAAATAAATAAATAAAATATCTCTCTTTTTGTGGAGTGATTGGGGCCTCCTTCTTCATAGACTTTTGTTATCTTGAACTTAATTATAGTAACAACCTTTACTTTAATCTCTGACTCTTCTATTTCTGGGGCCTACTGTCTAGTTTTCTAAAAATACCTGTCTTTAAATATTGCTTTCATTATTTCTTCTCACTGCCCAATAAGTTCAGTGTCATTTTTTCCATATCATTCACCACTATACATGGCTTTCAAGGTCTTCCATAATCTGGTATTATCTTTTCCTGTTTTATTTTCTACTTTTTTTTTTTTTTTAAAGATTTTATTTATTAATTTGACAGACAGAGATCACAAGCAGGCAAAGAGGCAGGCAGAGAGAGAGGAGGAAGCAGGCTCCCTGCTGAGCAGAGAGCCCGATGCGGGGCTCTATCCCAGGACCCTGGGATCATGACCCGAGCTGAAGGCAGAGGCTTTAACCCACTGAGCCATCCAGGCGCCCCTATTTTCTACTTTTCTCCCAACTCATCCTTCATTCTTGTTAAGCCTTGTCTTCCTAATTTGTACAAACACTTCAGAATCTTTATCTCTGCCTTGACTTGTTTTTGCTGCCATTTCCTAATCTGTTTTATTTTCTTCTGTTTCCTTTCTAACTATTCTTAAATCCTAATGCAAGTCCTGTGTATCTTTTCTGTAAAGAATTATTATTTTAGCTTTTACCTATTTATCTCTTTAAGTGCTTTGGTATTTATTATCACTGCCATTCTTAATTAATTGCCTAATTATTTGTTCATCATTACATAGCATTTAGACTATACACTTTTGAGAGAAGGGACCGTGCTTTTGTACCTGTAAACTGTACATGATAATGACTAATTATTAAAATCCTTCATTGTTTTATTTTATTTTATTTTTTTTTAAAGATTTCTTTATTTATTTATTTGACAGAGAGAGAGGGAGAGAGAGATCACAAGTTGGCAGAGATTCAGGTGGAGAGAGAGGGGGAAGCAGGCTCCCTGCTGAACAGAGAGCCCAATGCAGGGCTTGATCCCAGGACCCAGAGATCATGACCTGAGCCGAAGGCAGAGGCTTAACCCACTGAGCCACCCAGGCACCCCAAAATGCTTCATTGTTTTAATCAGATTTTCAAAATGGAAAGGAAAAACATTACTTCCGTTTTAATATTTCATAATGTTCTAATAATAAAGTCTAATGATGTGATATATTGTATTGAGTAGAACAATTTTACTATTGTTGCTTTTCTAAGTCATTTATATATAAATCTATTTGTACAGGTAGGTAGACAGATTTTTTCTCCCCCTCACACTTTTTGTTTATTACAGTTTTTCACTGGTTTCCAAAAGTAACTATTATTGTTGTTTGATGAGGGTTTTCTTTTTTAAAGATTTATTTATTATTTTAGAGAAAGAGAGAGAGCATGAGCAGGGTGAAGGGGAGAGGGAGAGAGAGAGCATCTCAAGCAGACTCCCTGCTGAGCCCAGAGCCATCATGGGGCAATCCCAGGACCCTGAGATCATGACCAGAGTTGAAACCAAGGGTCACATGCTTAACCGACTGAGCCACGTAGGCGTCCCTGATGAGCACTTTTAAAATCGTTGTTGTAGGGGCGCCTGGGTGGCTCAGTGGGTTAAGCCGCTGCCTTCGGCTCAGGTCATGATCTCAGGGTCCTGGGATCGAGTCCAGCATTGGGCTGTCTGCTTGGCAGGGAGCCTGCTTCCCTCCCTCTCTCTGCTTGCCTCTCTGTCTACTTGTGATCTCTCTCTGTCAAATAAATAAATAAAATCTTAAAAAAAAAATCGTTATTGTAAACTTTACAGAATGCTATAGACGTTAAAGCATTAGCAATTAATGTAGTCAAATCAGCTTGTCTTACAACCATGTGCATTGTGTGGCTTACCTAATGTCATACATCTTGTAAGAAATTCATCAAAACTGTCCAACAGAATGAGTATCTCTATCAGTAAAGGATTCTTTCTTCTCTCCTAAGCTGTATCAGTAGTGAAAAATAGTTTTGATTAATGGCTGAGGAAATATTTTCTGCATTTTGCTTCAGAATATTGTTTAATAGTGGCACCTGGGTGGCTTAGTATTTTGAGTGTCTGACTTTGGCTCAAGTCGTGATCTTGGTGTCCTAGGATCAAGCCCTGCGTTGGACTCTCTGCTCAGTGGGGAGTCTGCTTGTCCCTATTCCTCTCCCTCTGTCCCTACCCTCTACTCATGCTCTCTCTCTCTCAAATAGTCTTTAAAAATATAGATAGATAGATAGATAGATAGATAGATATAGATATAGGTATAGTTTAATAATCCTTTTTGCTTTCTGACTTTTCATTTAAATTGTTTTTCCATACGCATTTTTTAGGTTTGACCAAAGTGTACTAGCTGGATAAATTTCAAAACCGTATTAAACTTTTATCTCCTGGGGGTACCTGGGTGGCTCAGTGGGTTAAGCTTCTGCCTTCAGCTCAGGTCATGATCTCAGAGTCCTGGGATTGAGCCCTCCATCGGGCTCTGTGCTCAGTGGGGAGCCTGCTTCCCCCTCTCTCTGCCTGCCTGCTTGTGATCTCTCACTTTCTCTCTGTCAAATAAATAAGTAAAATCTAAAAAAAAAAAATATTAAACTTTCATCTCCTGATAGAGGCCTGGTTATATTATACTAATTCTGAATTTTTCTTTTCATTGAAGACATTATAAACTCTGTTTATTTTATTTGTTAAAAAATGTTAATAGGTGGACTTTATGTTTCTACTTTTATTTGCAGTTGATATTTGATGAAGAAATATCTGGGCTAGAAAAATATTTGTAAGACCAGGCATTTTTATTATTTTTAGGGGAAATTGGAGATAATGTATTGCTTGACATAAGATTCTCTCTTCTTCTTCTTTTTTTAAAGATTTTATTTATTTATTTGACAGAGATCACAAGTAGGCTGAGAGACAGGGGGAAGCAGGCTCCCTGCTGAGCAGAGAGCCCGATGCCAGGCTCAATCCCAGGACCCTGAGATCATGACCTGAGCCAAAGGCAGAGGCTTAACCTCACTGAGCCACCCAGGCGCCCCCAGATTGTCTCTTCTTATTATGACCTAAAGTACAGCCACAACAGTGTTTTTATTAAATATATTCTTGCAGGGTAAAATATTTAGTCTAATAAAAAGATTCCTAGTCCCATATCTCTGGTCTTGTTCCCTTTAATGGAGAAACATACATGGAGTCATTTGTAGGTCTATGTGCCTTTTAGTGCAGGAGATCACAGTTAATAGATTTTTCTCTATTGGTATGGAAAAAGCTTCTACTTTTGTTGAAGTTTACTTACATGTTTGTGGAGAGATAATATCAGTTATTTACATAATTTATTTACATCTTCCTTGTTTCAGGAAGAATGAAGATAGTTAACAAAATACATAAAATATAGTAGCAAGGTGGAAATTAAAATGGGAACTAAAGAATAAAGAAAAACAAGAATGTAACCATAAAATGGAAGTAAGAAATGTATATCTTAATGAACTGTGGGTATGCACGCACACATTCATATATATGTGCGCACATTCACACACACTTTTCTATAATTTAAGCATCTACATTTTAAAAAGGGGAAACCTAGTTATTAAATTCTGTGTCCATGGGTGGCTGGGGGGCTCAGTGGGTTAAGCCTCTGCCCTCGGCTCAGGTCATTATCTCAGGGTCCTGGGATTGAGCCCTGCATTAGGCTCTCTGCTCAGCAGGGAGCCTGCTTCCCCCCCTCTCTCTCTGCCTGCCTCTCTGCCTACTTGTGATCTCTCTCTCTCTCTCTGTCAAATAAATAAATATTAAAGAAAAATAAATTCTGTGTCCATTAGATAAAAGTAATTAATTTCCATAAAATAAAACCATTAACTATTTTTGGTACTAAGTTCAGACAGAATTTTCTCTCAGAGAAGGATGATCTTAAAAAGAATTTTGATAAAATGAGCAAATTCTTTTATATTATTTAAGAGATACTACCACAGTTTTCATAAGCTTTCAAAAAAATTGATGTCATACCAAAATTAATTTTAGCGAAAGAAGCCCCATAGGTAACCACTACTTTTATGGCTAGTTTTGTGCCGATCTTTTTGGATCCAGAGGTAGGCTTTTAAATATATGGATGAATGGATACACAATGTGTTCTTTAAACTATCCTCCCTAAATATTATTTCTCTCAAGCAAAATTTTGATACTGATGGTGTGGTCATATGAGTTTGACGTTATATTCTCTAACATATTTGGAGAATATCTATTTGATAATGCTGGTTAAAAGCAGAGCAGATACACTGGTTGTAATAGATCATTAATCTGAGAGGACAATGACAGTCTTTTGAAAACTGATGAGTCTTTTATCTTGGACAACCACTTCATTTAATTTTTTGTACAATGAAACATATTTGCTAATAATTTTGTTATTTAATTTCTACCACATGCAGAAAATTGGAGATTCATACCGTGGCTACTGTGTAAGTGAGACCGAATTAGAAAGTGTTCTAACATTTCATAAGCAGCAAACACAGAGTGTTTGGGGGACCCGCCAATCTCCAAGCCCAGCCAAGCCAGCTACACGCTTGATGTGGAAATCTCAGTATGTCCCATATGATGGAATTCCATTTGTCAATGCAGGTACTTTTTTAAGGGAATTATTTTAAAAGGTTCAGCACTGCTATGATCCATTGTAAAAATGTGGTTTTCCTAAAAATTTCCTACCAAAATGTCATTTTTGTGGATGACAACTGAATGTTAATTGATGAAAATGCATGTTAAACTAAAAAGAAAACTTAAATATGACCAATTTTTAAATGAAATTTTATTTTAATATATTAGAATAAATAAATAATACTTCCTTAGATATTATGCTGATACATAGAAAATAAAAATATTAATAGAGCAATTTTATTATTCTAAATATGTATATCTGTTGGATTTTTTTTTTTGCCCAGTCCAGATATTTTCACCTCCCTTGATTCGTCTTGTTGGACAAATTTGTATTCATTTTATATTTTATAGCTCATAACTCTCAAGTTACTGTGTAGAATTTGAATGCAATCTGGAGTTATATTATACAGAATTGTAATATTAGGATTCTCAAGCATCAAATGTGTTACATATGCTAGTCAAATATTGGGCTAGTATGTATTAAAGGGGTAGAGTTTTGTGTGTGTGTGTGTGTGTGTGTGTGTGTGTTTTTAATGTTTTAAGTAATCTCTACACCCAATGTGGGGCTTCAACTCACAACCCAGAGATAAGAGTTGCATGCTCCACCGACTGAGCCAGCCAGATGCCCCTAAAGTGGTTTCAGCTTCCAGAGATTCACCCTCAGGCTAATCAAATCCCAAAAAACATGACAAGTGATTTATTTTAGGACTGGGAAAATACTGATTAAGCTGGAAGAGTTGCAGTCTCATCTTAGACCTCTGAGGGTAAAAAAAGATATGTGGAGGAACATGAGGTACATGTAACCTTTTCTGCCCAGGTTTCATCAGTATTCTATAAAAGAAGTACAACATTTTTCCCCTCCCTAGTTCTAATCCCCATGTTAACTCTCCACAGGCAGCCACTACATAAATTTGGTGTGTATCTTTCCGGTCTATATTTTTATACTTTATCACACATATTTGTATTTACAATAATGTATTTTATTGTTTTGAATATTTTGAAATATTCATAAATGGTAAACTATGGACATTGTTATGTAAATTTTTGCTCACCCTTATTTCTTGAAATCCATCTATATTGATGCTTACAGATCTTAATTTAACGAGTACATAATGTTCCAGCATATGACGAAACCGCAGTTATTTTTCTACTAATGATCATTTAGGATGTTTCAGATTTTCAGTATTACAAAGAATGCTATAGTCAAACAATATACATTTTCTTTTGAAAAGATGTAAATAAGTTAATAGTGCATGCATTAAAGTGGAAATGCTGAGTTGCGAAGTATGCCCATTTCATTTTTACAAGATTATCTCAAGTTGCTCTCTAAAGTGGTTGTACAAGAGCCATCCCCCAAAAAAGAAATCTTGCATTTGCAACAACATGGATGAAACTAGAGGATATTACGCTAAGCGAAATAAGTCAGAGAAAGACAGTTATCATATGACCTCACTCATATGTGGAATTTAAGAAACAAAACAGAGAATCATAGGGTAAGGGAGGGGGAAAAGAAAGCAAGACAAAATCAGAGAGAGAGACAAACCATAAGAGACTCTGATTCATGGGAAACAAACTGAGAGTTGCTGAAGGGGAGAGGGGTGAAGGATTGGGGTAATTGGGTGATAGACATTAAAGAAGGCACATGATATAATGAGCACTGGGTACTATATAAGACTGATCAATCACTGACCTCTACCTCTGAAACTAATAATACACTGTATTAATTAGTTGAATTTAAATTAAAGAAAGACCACCTAGTAAAAAAATAAAAAATAAAAAATAAAATGGTCGTACAGGTGCAAAATCTGTTCTCTAAAATTTTTGGCCACATGTATTTCAGAATTTTTGGAATGTAATATATTACAGAATACTCAACAGCAAGTATTCTGTTGACCCTATCACATAATCGAACATAGTAATATTTTATGGTTAGTAACACTAAGAGGTACAAAGATTATAAATAGTCACATAAAGTTCAGGTCAGGTTTTGCAATTAAATGCGTTCCAAAAAATTTTGTTTTCTGAACTTCTTCAGTTTCAGAATTGTATGTGTGGAATTAGCAACCTGTACCAATTGTTACTTGTTTCAGCAATGTATGAAAATTTCCCTTTCCTTCATTTATCTTATGACACAGCATTGTCAGACTTTAAAAATCTTTATATTCTGGAAATTTTCATATATATATAGATATATATACATATCTAAAAGTAAAGGTAACATATCTAATAGTATGTGTGTGTGTATATATCTATATATGTCTGTATCTCATAGTGAAGGTAATAATATGTAGAATCCTATGACTCTCCCTGTATCCATCATCAGCTTCAACAACTATTAGCATATGATCATTCTAGACTCATTTATATCCCTACCCACTTTTTTATTCCTCACCTCCAAGATGATTTTATAGCAAATTCCAGATATCCAGTTGCTTTATCTGTAATTACCAAAGTATATATTATATTCTAAAATATATATCGCTAAGAGATAAGGATCTTTGTATATGTACATATGTACAATGACAGTCACATTATCATATTATAAAAGAATTAACAGTAATTTCTTAGTGTCATAAGATATCCAATGTTCACATTTCTTTACTTCTCTAATAATTCTTTTTTCATAGGTTTGTTCAAATTCACATCCAGACAGATTTCACAGTTTACATTTGGTTTTCTCTCTTGAAATTTTTCTAAAAATTTCTCTCCTCTTTTCCCCCAGGTAGTTTATCCTGTAGAGTTTTCTGTATTCTGAGTTTTGTTGATTCCATCTCTGTGCTATAGTTCAGCATGTTTTTTAAAAATCCCCTATATTTCCTGTGGACTGTTAGATCTAGAGGCTTGATTAAATGAAGATTTGATCTCCATTATTTTGCAAGAATATGTCATAGGTGTGTTCTGTACTTCTTATTGCTGCCTATGTGCAACAACCTTTTTGTGATACTAAAATTCATCAGTGGATTCAGTTATTTTAGAATACTGTCAGATTTTTTATTTTTGCCAATGTGAAGAGTGTGAGATGGTATTTTACTATTGCTTGAATTTGCATTTCCGTATTTACTAGTAAAGTTGAACATCTTTTTATTTGCTCATTTAATATCTTTTTTTCCTTTCTGAATTGCCTATTCATAGTCTTTACCCATTCTTCTGTTTGGTCCTTTATTATTATTTTTTTAAATAAATTTTTTAAAAGATTTTATTTGTTTATTTGACAGAGAGAGAGATCACAAGAGGCAGAAAGGCAGGCAGAGAGAGAGAGAGGGAAGCAGGCTCCCTGCTGAGCAGAGAGCCCAATGTGGGGCTCGATCCCCAAATCCTGGGATCATGACCTGAGCCGAAGGCAGAGGCCTTAACCCACTGAGCCACCCAGGCGCCCCTTGGTTCTTTATTTTTAAAAATTATTTGTAGCTCTTTACATTCTCCATATTAATTCTTTATTACTATTATTATCTCTAAGTTAATATAAATTCTAAAATTTATATTTAAAATTTTTAAGTTTTAAATTTTAATGTCAGCTTTATCAACACTTTTACTTATGATTCTTTTTTATTTTATATTTGAAAAATTTGCTGTACTCTACCTAGAATAGGATATTTTACCTAAAGCCATAAACTATATAGTTTTCACATACACTTATTTATATTCTATTGCTATGTAACAAATTACCCAAAACTTGATGGCTGAAAACAACAAACATTTATCTTATGGTTTCTGTGAGTCAGGAATCAAAGAGCAGCTTAGCAAGGTGGTTCTGCCTCAGTTTCTGTCACGAGACTGCAGTTAAGGTGTTGGCTGGAGCTGTAGTCCTCTCACCATTTGGCTGGGGGAGGATCTGCTTCCAAGCTCACTCCTGTGGCTTATTCCTTGCCACATGGGCCTCTGCACAGAGCTGCCGCACCGCAGACAGTTGATTTCGCCCAGAGAGACCAATCCAAGCAAGAGCAAGAGAGTATCCAGGATGGAAGTCACAGTGTTTTTATAACCTTATATCAAAAATAACATCTTCTCACTTCAGCCATGTTCATTAGAAGTAAGTTAATAAGTCTAGCCCATGCTCAAGGGGAGGGAATTAATCAAGAATGTGAGTACTAGGAGGCAGGGATCATTAGGGGCCATCTCAGAGGCTGGTTATTACATTATTGTAGTCCCCCCTTATCCGCAATTTCACTTTCCAAGGTTTCAGTTGCCTGTTCTCAACCACAGTCTAGAAGCAGATGATCTTCCTTCTGACGTAGTGTCAGAAGGTGAATAGTAGCCTAATGCTATGTCACAATGCCTTTGTCATTCACCTCATTTCATCTCATCACATAGGCATTTTATCATCTCACATCATCACAAGAAGAAGAAGGGTGAGTACAGTACAATAAGATATTTTGAGAGAGACCCCATTCATATAGCTTTTATGACAGTATATTGTTATAATTGTTCTATTTATAAGTTATTGTAGTTGCTCTCTTACTGTGCCTAATTTATTAATTAAACTTTATTATAGGTATATATAGATAGGAAAAAACATAGTTTATATAGGTTTTAGTATTGTCCATCCTTTCAGGCATTCACTGTGGGGCTTGGAACGTATCCCCCCGCGGATAAGGGGGGACAACTGTATTCTAACAGTACAAATAGAAATAAGGAAAAATTATAAAAGAATATAAAACTTTACATAACAATATTTACTAACAAATGTAGCTTTTGCTAATTTCTACTTATAGAGTGGTGAAATTTTATTATTAAAAACCATATGTATGTAAATATCAGTTAACATTCAGTAACTGTGGTATTTGTAAATTTCTTTAACCATTATGTACTTTTGATAAATATTATTATCTTTTAAACTTACGTGTTTATACATCTTAGTAAGACTTACTGATGTTTTCTTTCCTTAAAGTTGTGTAATTGAAAGTATAAATTTGGACATTGCCACCACTGAGTTATTTTTATTCTAGTGTCCAGAACAGATGGATACTTGAATTAATATCAATAGTTGGTTTTGGCCCACAGGGAGTAGAGCCGTGGTAATGGAGTGCCAGTATGGGCCAAGGAGGAAAGGTTTCCAGTTAAAAAAAATCAGTGAGCAGGAGAGCAGGTCTTGTCAGCTCTACAAAGCCACTTGTCCAGCCCGGTAAGCTTTATTTTCTTTAATTTCCTGTTTATTAAGTATTTATTTTCTAATAACTAATGTGTACATTTTTATTGTGTTTAAACAATGCCAATAAGTGTACAGTGCAATATGTTTCCTTTTACTTCTACTCCCTATGTCCCTTTTTATTTATTTGTTTGTTTGTTTATTATAATGTTCAGTTAGCCACCATATAGTACATCATTAGTTTTTGATGTAGTGTTCAACGATTCATTAGTCCTATGTCTCTTTTTAAGGCAACAGCTCTTACCAGCTTCCTGAGTAACTCTCCAAAGATATTCTGTGTATATGCATGCATACCTATCCTCCTTTATACCCATAAATGTTGAAATCTCAGTAAAACCTACTAATGTTTTCTTTCCTTAAAGTTAGGTGGTAGTAGGTGCCTCATTAGCTCAGGTAGCACGTCAGTCTCATAAAGTTAGGTAGTAGCATACTTTCTTTCCTGCTGTGAATTCACATTGCTTTATTTCTATTCTAAATGCCTATTGTGGTTATTTACTGCACAACTGTTTTTGCTTCACACTAGTGTGAATGTAATGATATATACCACTCTATGCTTTGTTTTTGTTTTTGTTATTTCATTCCCAGTATATCTCAAAATTGTCTCCATATCTGCACATGAAAGGACTTGTTCCTTCTTTGCATTTATTTATTTTAAAAATTGAAATATAATTGGCGTATAACATTGTATTAGTTTCATGGTTCCTTCTTTTCAGGAGCCATCAATATTGCATTTATGGATGGATTGTCATTTACTGAATTAGTCCTCTAATGATGGACATGTAAGATCTGAAAAGTATTCTTTATTATTATATACAAATCTCCAGTTAATAACATTATACCTATTTGTATACTTGTGCAAGTACGTCAGTAGAATAAATTTGTTGAAATGACATTCCTAGTGCAAAGGTTATATTATTTTAAATGTTTACAGGTATTACAAAGACAATTGCTCTTTAGAAAGATTTTAACAATAATATTCATACCAGCAATGTATGAGATCAACACAGTAAGTTTTAGATAGACTAAGACTACAGATTGGTGATTGCTTTGGGTGAGAATGAAAAATTTGAAGCAATAAAAGATTTTTGTAATGTTCTTTCTAATATTTTTTTAGACATTGAAAGTTTTAAATTCTCAGATAAAATTTTAAAAGATAATGTATAAAGGTTGGGTATAGTTGATCTTTGAAATATTTTATTTCAACATCACATTTTATATCACAAACCTGTACATTCTAAAGAGGTTCTTCAAATTAGTTCAGAAGAGTTTTCATAACTTTAGCTAATATTTAAACTTGACTGTGAAGCAAAACTTTTAACTGCTTTTAAATATAAGCAGTATAAAACTTCAGATATAACTTGGGAGAAAACCTCTATGTGTGAAGAAATAACTTTATTCCCTATATCATTCTACAAGTACTTTTTGAATATCAGTTGTGTCCAGCAATACCTTGGGTGCCATGGGAAAGAGGGAGACTGAAAGAGGTACAAGATACTACTTAATCATGGGAAACTTAAGATATAGTTGAGGCAGATCAGAAAACAAAAAACTTGGAAAAGATAATGGTATAGTATATAGTACCAAATGTGTCAGGTTAGCTAACTCAGCAGAGAAGGAACATATCCATGCAAATTCATTAACAGGGAAGAAAGTACAACTTAACATGAATGCTGAAGTTTAGATTGCGTTTGGGTAGATAAAGAGTGAGGGGGGAGATACTGTAGGTCAGGAAATTATATGAATAAAGATATGATGTGATTGTATTTTTGGTAACAGAGGAAGAAGGAACATTGAAATGATAAACTTGTCTGAAAAAAGCAATTTTACATTTGAAGTAATTGAAAGTTAGATTAGGTAAATAAGCTAGAATCATATGGGATGCCTTGACTCATGCCAAGAAATTTGTACTCGATTAAAGAGCAGGTAGATTCTTCAACAGAGAAGTACAAATGTGAAGAATTATTGTAGTATTAATATATCAAGGAGATTTAAGGAACGAAACCAAGAGGCCCAGAAGGAGGCTATTAAATTAATCTAGGCGTGAGTTTTTCGTTTATGTTTAAGGTCTAATTATCATTTATTTTTACAAGTAGCAAAGTTCCTCCCTTTTTTTCTGGCTTATTGTATATGAATGTAAAAAAGTATTGATTTCACACTGTCTCTCACTCCAACAGAATGGGGTAACAGGAAGTTGTGAGTTGAAAGTAGCCTCCTGACACCAGTGTGGTTTCCTGTTTACCTGGGACTTGAACTCTGGTGCTCTCATCAGTCATCCTCTTACCGTTTTCTTTTCAGTTTATGAAAATCAATGAGTTTATGAGCATCCTTCCCAGTAGACGGGTCTGCAATGTGTTTGGGAAGTCAGTAACTCACGTAAGACAGGGTTGCACTGTCACTTTACGATTTGTGTAACGGAAGGCTGAAGAATCAATTCATACCATTTTCAAAGAATAAGCTCATATTCTATACAGGGATGTGGAGAATCATCAGTACAATGAAAAAAATGGTTGAAGTTGTGAGTGATGAAATCAGAACTCTTGAACAGCAGAAAGACTTCACTGAGGGCTTTACATTTCAGAGAACTGTTCATTGCTATCCAGTATATATCCCTTGGGGCACTCCAGTTAAGCTTAGGAAATACACCCCTCCACCTCCCCAGGAGTTGATAGCTTCTTGACCTTTAGTGGTGACTTTGGGAAATTCTGGTGCCATAAGGGTATCCATGTTCTCATCATCCGACCACTGTATTTCTTCTGCCTTATTATCACTGTTTGGCTAAGAACTTGTTGGCGGATCTTCACTTCCTGAACCCACCAGAGTTCCATCATCGAGTAAATAATCCTTCACATTCTGAGGAGTGGAAGAATGACACGTAATGGTAAGGCTTCCGAACAGCGGCTGCCACACAGAGAACTGACAGTGCAGCACATGCTCTTTCTTCATCCTCCAGCTGCCACAGCTGCTGCCCATCCCCTCCTGCCAGCACCCTCCCAGAACCCCCAGGCATGAGTTTTTTATGGCTTCCAGGAAAATTGGGAAGAGGCAAATCCAGAAACAAAAGTTGATAGCCATAAATATTTAGATATTTTTCCTGATGTTTTGATTATTGTTAATTTGCTAAATATTACGCACTGAGAATATGGCCTATTTTTCAACATAATCCGCTGAATGCTTTCTAGTTTAATTGATTTTTCTCTAAACTTCAATGCATAAACTTCCACTTGGTAAATTTGATTTTCTTGATATTATAATGAAAGAAATTCTTCTTTTACTTACAAACAGGATTTACATTAAAAAGGTACAGAAGTTTCCTGAATATAGAGTTCCTACAGACCCCAAAATTGATAGGAAAATAATCCGAATGGAGCAGGAAAAAGCCTTCAACATGCTAAAGAAGAACTTGGTAGATGCTGGCGGTGTTCTTAGGTATGACATTTATATTATTATTTTATTTTTACAAATTAATTAGCTCCATTTACAAGATATTTTTTGTAAGAGAAATTATAAATATGTCTTCTAATTATTTCATTAAGAATGGTTTTAATAAGGGAGATGTCTCATTAGCAATTCCCTAGGTATTAAAATTTGCCACTCTGTAAGCCATTGAGTTTATCAACCACATGTTCTGATAATGCTTACCAAAGACTTATGTATACCATATGGAAAGTTTTCCCCAAAATGACAAATATGTATTTAGCAACACATATAATTATATATTTCATACTTTGTTTCTGATATTTCTTAGGAGCCAAACTTATAGTCACCTATATATATATTTTTAACCCATCTTTGATCACCTATAGCAGCCAGAAATTAATTCTAAGCCCTACATAAAATTCCATTCTATATACTTTTTGTGCTTCAGAGTTTACATAAGAAGAATGTTGGCTGGCTTTCTTACTTTTCTTTATGGGTTCATCCACAGGAAGAATTTACAGTAGTACAATGGGATTAAGTGCAATATAGTTTTTGTAAAAACAAAACAAAAAAACTTTTGGATGTGTACACCTGGGTGGCTCAATTGGTTGGGTGTTCCAACTCTTGGTTTCAGCTCAGGTCATGATGTTGGAGTTGTGGGATCAAGCTGTGTCAGACTCCATGCTCAGTGGAGAGTTTGCTCTTCTCTCTCTGCACATCCCCAGTCTTGTGGGCTCACTCTCTCTCTCTCTTTCTAATAGACAAATCTTTAAAAAAATAAATACATAAGTATGTAAAATGAACTTTTGGATATATGAAAAATGAGTAGCCAATAATTAGATCATTCAGTTTGGAGAACATTGCATATAATTTTTTTTTTTTTGCCAATTTTAAATACAGTTTTATTTAAGACATTGCATTTTCCATTTAACAATACAGTGCTTATAAAGTGCAATGTCAGGGTGCCTGGGTGGTTCAGGGGGTTAAGCCTCTGCCTTCAGCTCAGGTCATGATTCAGGGTCCTGGGATCGAGCCCCACATCGGGCTCTCTGCTCAGCAGGGAGCCTGCTTCCTCCTCTCTCTCTGCCTGCCTCTCTGCCTACTTGTGATCTCTGTCTGTCAAGTAAATAAATAAAATTTTTAAAAAATGCAATGTTTATTTCCTTTCCTGTGCACATATTCCATATTCAGGTATCAAAAATGCCCAGTTTTTTGCTATAGCAGCTCAACTCTACAGCTGCCATGGATTTTGCTACAAATTTGGGTCCTTTGAATATTGTGTGTGGAACAATGCTAGACCTATTTATTGCCAGGTTGGTTTAATCAACCTCTTCAATGGTGGGCCCAGAGGAGGCACCACCAGAGGGAGGAGCTCCACTGCCAGGGAAGCCTCCAGGCACTCCTCCTGGCATGTGCCCTGCACTCTGGTACAGCTTGGTGATGATGGGATTGCAGACTTTCTCCAGCTCTTTCTGCTGGTGTTCAAATGCTTCCTTCTTGGCAGTCTGGTTCTTATCAAGCCGGTTGATGATTTCATTGCACTTGTCAAGAATCTTCTGTTTGTCTTCATCATTTATCTTGCCCTCAAGTTTTTCCATCTTCAACAGTTCCTTTCATGTTGAATGTGTAAGACTCAAGTGAATTCTTGGAAGACACCTTGTCCCGCTGTTTCTCATCTTCAGCTTTGTACTTCTCAGCTTCCTGGACCATGCGCTCAATATCTTCCTTGCTCAAGTCGCCCTTGTCATTAGTGATGGTAATCTTGTTCTCTTTGAGGATACCATTAGCATCAATATCAAAAGTGACCTCAATCAGTGGGACACCACGAGGGGCAGGAAGTATGCCTGTGAGTTCAAACTTTCCAAATAGGTTGTTGTCTTTGGTCATGGCACGCTCACCTTTATACACCTGAATAAGCACACCAGGCTGGTTGTCAGAGTAGGTAGTGAAGATCTGTATCTGTTTGGTAGGAATGGTAGTATTATGCTTAATGAGAACAGTCATGGCTCATCCAGCAGTTTCAATGCCAAGAGAAAGTGGAATGACATCCAACAACAGCAAACCTTGAACGTTTTCAGGTTTGTCTCCAGAAAGGATGGCTGCCTGGACAGCTGCACCATAAGCAACAGCTTTGTCAAGGTTGATGCTCTTATTCAGTTCTTTCCATTGGAGAAATCTTGGAGAAGTTTCTGAATCTTGGGGATACGGGTAGAACCACCCACCAGGACAGTATCATGGATCTGAGACTTGTCTAACTTGGCATCCCGAAGGGCTTTCTCTACAAGGTCCAGGGTGCCACAAAACAGGTCAGCATTTAATTCTTCAAACCCGGCATGAGTGATAGAAGTTGATTCCTTCATACAGAGAATCAATCTCAATACTGGCCTGGGTGCTGGAAGAAAGTGTACGTTTAGCACGTTCACAAGCAGTACAGAGATGACGAACTGCCCTCTTGTTTTCACTGATATCTTTCTTATGTTTGCGCTTGAACTCTGCAATAAAATGGTTGACCATTCAGTTGTCAAAGTCTTCTCCACCTAAGTGGGTGTATCCAGCTGTGCACTTAACCTAAAAGATCCCATCTTCAGTAGTAAGGATTGACACATCAAAAGCACCACCTTCTAAGTCAAAGATCAGCACATTCCTTTCAGCTCCAACTTTTTGTCTAAGCCACGAGTAGTAGCAGCAGCAGTTGGCTCATTGATGACTCAGAGTACATTGAGACCAGCAGTAGTTCCGGCATCTTTGGTAGCCTGACGCTGAGAATCATTGAAGTACACAGGTACTGTGACAACTGCATTGGTAACCATCTTCCCAAGATAAGCCTCTGTGATTTCCTTCATTTTTGTCAAAACCATAGAAGACACCTCCTCTGGATAGAAGCTTTTTGTCTCTCCCTTGTATTCTATTTGGACCTTGGGCCTGCCAGCATCATTGACCACCATGAAAGGCCAATGCTTCATATCAGATTGGACAACAGTATCATCAAATCTCTGTCTAATCAGGCATTTGGCTTCAAAAACTGTGTTGGTGGGGTTCATCACAACTTGATTCTTTGCAGTATCACCGATCAATCATTCAGTGTCCATGAAGGTGACATAACTTGGGGTGGTTCGGTTTCCCTGATCACTGGCAATTATTTCCACTTTGCTGTGCTGGAAGACACCCACGCAGGAGTAGGTGGTGCCAAGATCAATGCCAGCTGACATGGTTGCTTCTGTGTAGGCCTGGCTCAGCTTGAGAAGAACAAGGAATCCAAAGATGTAGTCCCACGTTCAATGAGCTAGAGAACATCGCATATAATTTTTAAATAGCCTCCATTTCATGCAGTATCAGTCATCGCAAGCACTTTATACAAAAGTATCAATTAAAACAGTATCCTACCAGATCATTTCATTTTCCTAGCATCTGTTCTTTTGCACTGCAATATGAAAGACCTATATTCATCTTCTAGTTGGTTCTCTTGCTCATTGGAGCAATAAGAGCTTGTGCAGTAGAGGGGCTGTGGGGCAATAGAGGTAGTATATTGAGCTCCTGTCAGGGAAGATTCTCCCACTGAGCTCAGTCTTGGTAGACTCTGATTTATAGCCACCTTTTGCTTGGAAGGATTATAGGTGGAACACAGAATAATTTGGGGACAAAATCATAGAAGAATGGGAAAATACAGTTTAGAAGATGATGACTTTAAAAGTCTCATTATTTTGAGGTAAATTTAATTAGCATGAAATTTAAAATACCATTTTCATATATACTTAACTCCTGTACCCTCCTTAACTAAAGGGCCATAGTGAAAATCCATAAGGTTTTATAAAGATTTTTATTTAATTGGATATAAAGCCAACTTAGAAGAGTCAAGCAGGGGGTTAGGGGGTGCTTGGGTGGCTCAGTTGGTTGGCTGTCTAGCTCAGGGTGGTGAGATGAGCCCCAAATTGGACTCCATGCTCAGTACAGAGTCTGCTTGAGATTCTCTGCCTCGCCCGCTCTTTCCACTCTCTTTCTGCCCCTCCTTGCCCCAATGTGTGCACGTGCTCTCTCTTTCTCTCTCTCAAATAAATAAGTTAATTAACTATTTCTAAAAAGAAGCCTAGAACATTTTAAATTTTATTTATATCCTTTTTATTTTTATTTTTTTCAAAGATTTTATTTGTTTATTTGACAGAAGGAGACAACGAGAGAGGGAACACAAATAGGGGGAGTGGGAGATGGAGAAGCAGGCTTCCCACTGAGCAGAGAGCCCGATGTGGGGCTCGATCCCAGGACCCCGAGATCATGACCTGAGCTGAAGGCAGAGGCTTAACCCACTGAGCCACCCAGGTGCCCCGATATCTATTATTTTAAAATTTTAGTTACATTTACTTAATATGATATATCATCTTTTCTTAAAAGATTATTCTTGGGGTGCTCTGCTCAGCGGGGAGCCTGCTTCCTCCTCTCTCTGCCTGCCTCTCTGCCTACTTGTGATCTCTGTCTAATAAATAAATAAAATCTTTAAAAAAATTTATTATTTTTCTTGTTGAGTTTTAACGTAAGTAACTATGATTCTTGCCTTCATCTAGTAACATAATTTTAAGTATTTCTTCTTATCAGGTGGTATGTACAGTTACCTACAAAGCAAGCTCATCAGTACCATGAATTAGAGACTTCCTGCCTCCCTTTGCCACCTTCCTCTTTTCCTGTGTCTTCTCTTGAAGAGGAGGAAACTGCAATTAGGGATGAGAACTGTGCATTACCCTCACGTCTACATCCCCAAGTAGCACACAAGATTCAAGAATTAGTGTCACAGGGAATAGAACAAGTATATACAGTAAGGAAACAGCTAAGGTACAGTAAAAACAAATTATTCTTTTACATTTTTCATTATTGTTTGTTGGTTTAAATAATATATTTATCATCATAAACCTTTTCCAAGATATATGGTATCAGAATAGTTAAGGAATATAATTTATTAATTTGTTAAAATAATCTTAGTTATGAACTGATCATTTTCTAACAGATACTTGGCAAGCTGTGAGTAATGATTCAGCTTACTCATTTGAAATATTCCATATTCAAATTTAGCAAATTGGACTATTTCTGAATTATATATAAATTGAATTACATAATAAATGCCTCTATAGGAAAAAAAAGCCTTCATAGAGCCAAAGATTTTAAAACCTAGACCAGGATACTTACTTAAGCTATTTGAAATGCAATGAAATTGTATTATAACAAAAGAACATGGATAGTTCTTTATATGATGGAAGTTTACATGTAGCACTCTGGTACAGTGTTACTGATTCTTAGGATACAATACTCATGATCGCATTTATTCTTGCAGCTATATAAAGTGGGTGTATTTACCTCCATCCCGCACATGAGAAAGCAGGTACTACAAGTGGTTAAATAACTGGCTCAAGATGTAGAGGCAGAACTGAAATCGAGATCTAATGCTACAGCCTGTGCTCTTTTACTGTGATTTCTGGTACTTAACTGGCGTTATTCCTACTGGTTATTATGTAGTCTGATCTGAATAACACAATGAATATATTTCCTAGGATTATGTCTTAGTTAATACATGATTTTCCCATTTAGCAGTTTTCTCAGACATCTTACATTCATTTTCATTGGGACATTGTTAGAACAGAGCCAAAATTTGGTAAAATCGTACATTATTTACTAAACTTGAACCTTAAGAACAGAGGTGTAATTCAGCTCTGCAGTATGGTCTATAGAATGTAATATATAAACCATATAAATACGGGACTTTATAATTTTTTATGTATTTTTTATATATTGATGTGTCAATGCCACCTTCTATTTCTATATTTCTATTTTGTCTACTTAAATTCAATCAGGTCATATTTCATATTGTGATGCCTTTTGGCCACAGAGTAACATGATGTTTATACAATAAGCTGGGTGTGGGCCCAGGCTCTCTTGCTTACTGGCTAGATGTATATTGGCAAGTTATTTAACTTCAACAGCCCTCAGTTCCCTTATCTGTAAAGTGGGAATGATAATTGCACTTATCTCACAGGATTATAGTAAGCATTAAAGGAGATCCTTGATGTGAAATGTTCAGTATACTGCCTGACGTAGCATTCAAAACGTATTTTGCTTAAACTGACAATAATGATTCCTATAAAAATGTCCAAGCTTACTCTAGATATAGAGGTATTTAATCAATGAAAGTATTATATTGCTTTAATCTGCATGATTTATTTGATTTAATATGCAGAAAAAATTAAGGGGAAAAATATAAATTATAAAGCTGTAAACCATAATTTACAGAAATTTATGCTAAAAAAGAACCATTTTCTCCTTTGATCTGAAGTGTATTACTAGGCTGTTTATGTTTTTATTCTGTTTTATGCTCTCCACAGAAAATTTGTAGAAAGAGAACTATTTAAACCTGATGAAGTACCTGAGAGACATAATTTATCCTTTTTTCCAACTGTAAATGATATTAAAAATCACATCCATGAGGTACAGAAATCCTTGAGAAACGGAGATAATGTGTATAACTCAGAGATTATTCCAGCAACGGTAGGATTACAATTGTAATTCTTTGTTTTATTATAGAATCTTTCTCAACTTCTTGGGGCGCCTGGGTGGCTCAGTGGGTTAAGCCGCTGCCTTCAGCTCGGGTCATGATCTCAGGGTCCTGGGATCGAGTCCCTGCATCGGGCTCTCTGCTCAGCAGGGAGCCTGATTCCCTCTCTCTCTCTGCCTGCCTCTCTGCCTACTTGTGATCTCTCTCTGTGAAATAAATAAATAAAATCTTCAATTAAAAAAAAAAAAGAATCTTTCTCAACTTCTCTTACTATTTGGCCTAATGGGGTGGTTGTTAGTAGGCCATATAAATAACTGTAGCCATATAAACATAAACATATAAAAATAGTAGTTTTAGGGGTGCCTTGGTGGCGCAGTTTGTAAAGCATCCAGCTCTTGGTTTTAGCTCAGCTCTGATCTCAGGGTCACAAGATCGAGCCCTGCATCAGGCTCCATTCTCAGTACGCGGTCTGCTTGAGTTTCTCTCTCCCTCTTCTTGTGCCCTTCCCGCCCTGAGCTCTCTCTCTCACTGAAATAAATCTTTTTCTTTAAGATTTTATTTATTTATTTGACAGAGAGAGTGAGAGTGCGCACAAGCAAGGGGAGCGGCAGGCAGAGGGAGAGGGAGAAGCACACTCCCCACTGAGCAGGCAGCACAATGTGAGACTCGATCCCAGGACCCTGGAATCATGACCTGAGCCAAAGGCAGCTGCTTAACCGACTGAGCCACGGAGTCACCCCTGAAATAAATAAATCTTTAAAAAAAAAAAAAGGAGGGGCACCTGGATGGCTCAGTCAGTTAGGCATTTGCTTTCAGGTTGGGTCATGATTCTGGGGTCCTGCAGTCAAGTGCTGTGTCAGGCTTCTTGCATAGCAGAGGTCTGCTTCTCTTCTCCCTCTGCCCTGCTCCTCGTGCTCTCTCTCTCTCTTTCTCAAATAAATAAATAAAACCTTTTTTTTAAAAAAGAAGAAATAGTAGTTTTTCTTTTTTTAAATTTTTTTAAAGATTTATTTTACTTTATTTATTTATTTGATAGAGAGAGAGATCACAAGCAGGCAGAGAGAGAGGGGAACAGACTCCCTGCTGAGCAGAGAGCTCGATATGGGGCTTGATCCCAGGACCTTGAGATCATGACCTGAGCTGAAGGCAGAGGCTCAACCCCTGAGCCACCCAGGTGCCCCTAAAAAATAAAATCTTTGAATTAAAAAAAAAAAAATAGACAAGTTTCAGCAGAATAGTTCAGACTTGAATACATAAAGGGATGGTGTTCATTCTGTATGCCGTCTATGGATATCAATTTTATCTCATACTGTGATACTCTAATTTCCCCCAGAATATTGGTCAGTTCTATGAAAATTTTGCTTACTCTGAAGAGTATAATGTAATTATACAAAAACTACTAATTATAATACAGGAATTAATTATAGCATTAAAACCTTTGTAGTGGGGCACCTGGGTGGCTCAGTCAGTTAAGTGTCCTGACTCTTGACTTCAGTTCAGGTCATGACTTTCTGCCTCTCCCTCTCCCCAGTGCTTACATGTGCTTCCTCTTGCTCTCTAAAATAAATAAATAAATCTTTAAAAAAAAAAAATCTCAGTAGCAATACCCTTTGCTTCCCAAATTTTTACTATTATTAATTATGTCTTTTTACCTAAATAGTTTCAGATTTTAAGCTAGTGCTACTATTCTTTTCCATCCCAGACTCTCTTAATTATTCACTACCCGAAGTTCGGGAAGTAAAATGGATCTGGTTAGCAGTAATCTTTGCCATCTGTACTTGCCATCCAAATTCTTGCTATCTGAACTTGGGAAGCTATTGTATTTGGATAGTGAAGTATACTCATGTTTTGAGAATGTAAACAAGTGAAGAGAGTAATTACTGAATAAAACACAGTTACACTATCACTGAATAAAATATGATAGTTGTATTGATATTTTAAAACATTTTTTAATATAAATGCTTTATTGTTTTTATTGAAATAAATGTTCCCATTCCAGCTTCAATGGACTGCAGATAATGGGCATATTCTCAGAGAGACTGTGACAGTTACATTTGCAGAAGGTAGGTTATTTTGAATATCTTTAAATAAAATCAGTATTAAAACTGGAAGACACTGAAGGTATTATCTCATCTAATCAAAATTTTTTCATGGATAAAGAATCCATGGCCCGAAGAGACAGGAACAACTACGTTAGGATTTGTCAAAATAATTCTAGCTGTTTAAATGTATATACTTACATGTTACTCACATATACTTTCTCATATATGTTATTCAGCTGTAAAAAAGGATGACACGTTCCCTTTTGTAATGACATGGATGGACCTAGAGAGTATTATGCTAAGTAAAATCAAACTTCTAATGAGAAGGAAAAATACCATATGATTTCACTCATATGTGGACTCTGATGAACAAAACACATGAATAAACAAAAAGCAGAATCAGACTTGTAAATACAGAGAACTAGCTGATGGTTGCCAAAGGGGAGAGGTGGTGTGGGATGGGCAAAATGGGTGAGGGGAGTAGGAGAAGGCTTCCAGTTATAGAATGAATAAGTCACAGGAATGAAATGCATAGGGTTGCCTAGGTGGCTCAGTTGGCTTAGAAACCTTTTTGGTTTCAGTTCAGATCATGACCTCAGGGTCATGAGATTGGGTTCTCCATGCTCAGTGGAGAGTCTGCTTGAAGATCCTCTTTCTCTCCCCTCCCTCCCCTCTCAAATAAATAAATTTTTTTTTTTTTTAAAGGCACAGCATAGGGAATATAGTCAATGATACTACAATCACAATGTTTGGTGACAGTTTTGGTAGCTATACTTGTGGTGAGCATAGCATAAGATACAGGGAAGTTGAATCACTGTTATACACCTGGAACTAGTGTAACATCGTGTGTCAACTATATGCAAACAAAAATAAAAAATAAGGGGTACCTGGCTGGCTTAGTTGGAAGAGCTTATGACTCTTGATGTTGGGTTTGTGAGTTCAAGTCCCACAGTGGGTGTAGATCTAGACTACCAAAAATAAATAAATAAACTTAAAAAAATAAATTTCTTCATATAATCAGCTTTTGTGCTTTATGATTAAATTTTGAGGCTGATTACTAGTATAGATCACTATAAAGCTAGGCTAATTCCAGTAATAATAAACTTAAGATACCTTGGTCAGGAAATTTTGTCCATTTTACATGGTTTGCTTTTTCTCATATGCTGTTTCTCCTATGTTATCTTACTATTCCAAGCTTATTTTACCCTTTTTTTCCTCTTCTGGAAATGTGTTTTCTCTGCTTCTGTATGGCTAAGTCCTCTCACTCTCCAGTCAATCCATTTGGCTTTAAGTGCTCACTTAACTTCGGCCGTGTATAAAGTTAGACATTCAGTCTTTTGTACTTAGTTTAACATGGTATCCTTTTGTTTATACATCTGTATCTTTCCTTATGGTTTGAGTTCCTCAGGAGCAAGGGTTATATTTCATTCAAGTTAACATAACTAGTTGCTAGCTTAATCCCTGCTACAAAGTTAACATCTAAATAAATGCTTCAGAATAAATTAATGAATAACTGTATACAGTACAATTATCTCTTTCTTTTTTGGCTGTTTAACCTTTAAGAGTCACTGTGCATGAAGAATAACTTTCAAATTCTTTATCATTATTCATTTGTTCTGCACCTGTTGTACACAATAGGATAAATGCTTGACATAAAAAAGAAAACATTTCTTGCTTCGTTGAATTTCAAATTTAGCAAGAGAAAAAGACACTAATATATATATTAAATATATTCTATATATATAATATAAATTATAGAATTATAAATAATAGAATTATAAATTAGAATATATAAATATATTCTAATTACTGTTATATTGCCATAAAAGAATTGTGCAAAATTGTGTGAGAATAGTGACAGAGACATATAACTTAATCTAGGGAGTAGGGAAATAACGCTTGAGAAAGTGGCTTTTAAACTGAGAACTACAGAATGGATAGGAATTTGTCGATCCAAAGAATACTGTGTTTGAAAGCTAAGCAACAAAGAGCTTGTCATGTTCAAGGAACTTAAGAAAGTTGGTGTGGTTTTAAGCATAGACAGTGCTTGAGATAAAACTTGATATGCAGAATGGGCTTAGGAGGCCCTTTGAGCTGTCCAAATGAAAGGTGTGATAGTGATTTAGTCTACATTTAGTGGCATTTATACTAGAATTGGACAGATTTTCATTGTTTTCAAAGGTTTTGGTTATTGATTGAATAGGTGTGGGGGGTAAAAGAATAGGAATGATCTGGGATGACTCCTGAGTTTCTTCCATGAGCAACTGATAGGTAGTAGCATTTACTGAGGTAGGCAAAACTGGTTTAAGAATAGGATTTGGTAATGACAAGGGGAAAGAAAAAAAATTCATAAAATCAGGTTTGGAAAGCTTAGGTATCATAGCCATTTCAATTGAGTGGATTGGGAAGAAGCCACATTGGGACGGTTGAAGAGTGAATGAGTGATGAATGAAGAAGTAGAGACAGTGTGCTATGAAGAGAATACAGGGTTGAGGGAAGGTATTTTCAGATAGAAGAGATCTGAAGAGAGAAATGAAGATGAAGGTACTGGATAGCTTTGATGATGAGAAGTTGAGATTTCTGATAATTTCTCTTTTCTCTTTAAAAGTGCTAAGAGTGAAAAAAATCTTAGGAAGCGTGACCAAGATTAGATATTTGAAATCTTCTATAATGTAGAATGAGAGAGGGGCGCCTGGGTGGCAGATGCCATAGGGCATTTGCCTTTGGCTCAGGTCTTGATCCCGGGGTCCTGGGATCGAGCCCCACATCAGGCTCCCTGCTTGGTGGGGAGCCTGCTTCTCCCTCTCCCACTCCCCCTGCTTGTGTTCCCTCTCTTACTGTGTGTCTCTCTGTCAAGTGAATAAATAAAAACTTTAAAATATATAGAGAGAGAATGGGAGAAACCTTGTAAGGTTGTCAGGTACCGGTGAAGGTCCTGTTGAAGTTGGTGATCATGAATTGGTATTAGTAGTAGCAGTAAGTTTCTTTTTCAGTGGCATTCAGCTTCGCACATACAGCCACTGGAAGCCATTTTCATTCAGTGCTCGGATTGTACCAGGTTGTAACAAAAGTACAAAGAAGCAAGGGAGATTAGAGGATTTTCAGGAGAGTGACTGAAGCTATAACCGTGGGATTCGACTAAGCTGGATGGGGAGAGAAGTTTATTAAGTGAGAAGTTGATGTATCTGAAGAAAACTGAGGAATCAAAGGACTGGAGGTTCACCTGAGGTCGAATAATTGTAGTGAAGTACTTAAGCAAAATCCCTGGAAGAATAAGAGGTTGTGATCAAAGAATGGGATATCTGAAGTAGAGATTTTTAGATGTAGAAGAGCCGAGGGTATGATAGTAGTAGTGGGTGACTGCAGCAGAGTGAAGTGCAAGGACAATTAGAAATGAAGATGCCAGAAAGTGAAATAAGTCAGACAGAGAAAGACATATACCATGTGACTTCATTTATATGTAGAATCTGAAAACCAAAACAAATAAGCAAATGAAAAGCAGAAACAGACCCATAAATACAGAGAACAAACTGATGCTTGCCAGAGGCGGGGGAGTGGTGGGAGATGGGCAAAATGGGTGCAGGGAAGTGGGAGTTACAGGTTTCAGGTTCTGGAATGAACAAGTCACAGGGATAAAAGAGAACATAATCAATGGTACTGTAATGGCCTTGTATGGTAGCAGAGAGTAGCTACACTTGGAATGAGCATAGCACAACATATAAACTTGTGGAGTCATTATAGCTGAAACTGTTGTAACATTGTGTATCACCTGTACCTTAATTTAAGAAAAAGAACTAACGAAGCCAAGAAATGTGAAAGTATTGTTTAATCTTCTCACAGTCCCTTGAAGAAGATTCTCTTACTATCCTGATTTTACAGATGAAACTGGGGTTTAAAAACCGAGTAGCATGTTGAAGGTTACAGAGAAAAGCGAGCTAGTGCTTAATTCCATCCCTGTCTCATGCCAGGACCATTTTGAAAAATTACTTAGTTTCAATATGGAAGCAATAAACAGTTGTTGATAATTGGTTTTTGATTGACTTAAAGAGATTAATATATTTGGATTAATACATAGAAATTACAAGAGAGGGATTATATTCCCTAAGGACACTTACTTTAGCAATTGAGATAATAAGCAAACAGAGATTTTTACTCTTAGTCATTTATTCCAAAATGAGTTATTGAAAGAAATTTAATGCTGCTATTTTGGAGGACCCACTTCATGTCAGGCATTGTCCTAGGCATTAGGGCTACCAAAGATGAATTAAGTTTGGTCTCTGTGATTGAGAGGCTCCATAGGTTTCACACATCCAGAGAAGTTTAGAGGTAGTCTAGCATCATAGCATGGAAAATGGGCTAGATTAGAGTTACAAATACATAATCTTTCAAGGAAAAAACTACTGTTCCTAACATCACATCCTAGATATACTGAATTAAAATTAATGGAGGTTGAACCTCAGAATGTGTATTTCAAAAAGTTCCTGAGTGATTCTGATTCTACCAGGTCTGGAAACTGTGAACAAAAGAACTTCTTAAAGTCCTTTTCAAACCTTTGAATTTCTTTCCTATTCTAATTGTAATCGTAAGTGTTGTAATAAAATGTGGTGTCATATAACATAGAAACCATAAACATTATTTTGTTAGGATAGATGACTTTTTTTTATATATAACTTAGGAAATTCACCAGGGGAATCAATTAACACCAAAGTGGAAACAAATCAGACACGGGGTTCCTTGTCCCCAGAGCCGGCCCACTTGCTTTCTTCACTTCCCTCATTTCAACCAAAAATGCTTACACAACTCCAGGTAGGTATCCAGTGAAACAGACAAAACCGAAGCCCTTCCCTTTCTTCCTTAATCTCTCTTCTTCTAGGGATGTTATAGAATTACTATAGAATTATAATAATGATCACAGACGTTTTTATTATCAATTTCCTGATGTTTTTGTATCTTGATATAAGATCACTTTAAATTATACATTTTTAAAAAGTTGGAGTTGACTGTGCATGCAATAAAGTTTCGTTGTACTGCTTTTCCTTTGATTCTTGTTTCTGTCCTTGATATTTGTTAGTGATTATATTCCTCTATTTTATTCCAATTATGTGTCAAAAGAGTAATATATCCTATGAGAAAATTATACTTAGTAAATTTAAACATTTTGATGTAACTCTTTTCGGTTTAAAAGGGTTTGCAGTTGCAACCAAGATTCACTTCTCCTGATGGATCACCGGCTGTGATATCAGTAAATAACCACCCTTCCTCCAGTCCTTCAAGACTTCTGGATTCATTAGAAAGTACTGTAATGAATAATAATTCTCTACTGCTTGGTCAAAGTCATAGTCTTCAAACAGATACATGCCTAACCCCAAACAGTAGCATTATTGCTTCTACCATGACTAGCCTTCCAGGACCAGATCAAAATCTGGCTGCAATGGACCAGCTGGTGGAAGTTGGAGATGTTGAGGATGCAGAGAACATGGAAGGAGGTGTTCACCGGATTCTGCTGGGAAATGGGCAGACCATCCCAATACAGATTATAGATAGCCACCCAGCTATTAGTAAGTTAAAAGCAACTTGTGATTTTATTTTTAACCTTTTTGGACTTTCATTACTGTTACACTACAGAAAAAAAAATCATTTCGACTCAGGGGTTTATAAAATATAAATAAAGTGAAACTACTAGAAAAAGGGAAAAATATCAAGAGCATAATAACTCCTAAGCTCTTTAATTTTTTCTTCTCCATCAAAAGTATTCTCTAATTACCTCAGTTTACATAGAAAATCTGTGGTGATACAAAATCAGAGGGTCATTGTAGAATGCATGAAAAAAATGAGAAACTTTATTTTTTCAAAGATTATGTATGTATTTATTACAGAGAGAGAGAGGGCATAGGCAGGGGGGAGGAGTGGAGAGAAAGAGAGAAGCAGACTCCCCACGGAGCAGAAAACCGAGTGGGGCTTAATCCCAGAACCCTGAGATCATGACCTGAGCCAAAGGCAGCCACTTAACTGATGGAGCCACCTAGGTGCCCCATAAAATGAGAAACTTTAAAAGGAAAACTTATAGTGTAAAGGTTACTATGGAAAAAATGTTACAAGGAAAAATGGAATGAAGTGGACAGATATAAATGTTAAAGATTTTGAGTTATAAACTTTAATGTTGAGTTCTATGGAAATTGAAAGGGAACTAGTTAAGCCTTAGGGACTTGGGTTTAATCCAAGACCTTGTTATCTTTACTTTGTAACAAACCCAGTCAACCTACTCCTACTTGACCTACGTCACTCCCTTTCACATAGATTGTTTCGGATTGCGAACTTTTGTGGAGAAAGATTTGCAGTTTGCTTTGAAGAACAAAAATCTTCATAGAAATCTTCATAGAAATCCTTAGAACATACAAAGTATTTACCCTGGATTCTTAGACTTCATTCTTCTGGGTAAGGAAAAGTGTAAGTTAGTTCCTTCCAGAAAATAATAATTTTCTTAAAAGTAACAATTCCAAAAGATTTTAAATTTTAAATTTTTAAAATCTTTTGGAATTGTTACTTTTTTATTCTAAATTTTTTGGAATTGTTACTTTTAAGAAAATTTATCTGGAGAGCTGTGGTTCAGTAGTTGTCACTACTGAATAAGTTTAGTAGAAGTTTAGTAGAAAAGAAGGAAAGGAATACAGGTGAATTAATCCTCAGAACTTCATGTAATAGTTGGTGGTGTCCCCATTCTACAGATAGGTTAATCAAGGCTCAGAGAGGTTAAGTAATTACCTAAAAGTGATAGAGCAGGGATTTTAACCCAGATCTATCTGCCTTCAACGTTTCTTTCCATTCTAACATGCTTCCTCCCTCTATGTTGTACCAAGATATTTCTGGGAGCTCTAATCAGATTGCTTTAAAGGAGACCCTCTTGGGATCTGAACTTGCATGATTTATCAAGTTAGATCATGATCTGAGGGACTACTTCACCTGAATATGAATCCTAAGGGTCACTCAAATCCATCTTCTACTGGTTTTCTTTATGGTGTGGGATAAACTCTAACACATCCGTATGTGACAAGCATTAGGGGTGTTCAACACACTTGCCTGAGCAAATATTGGTCCCCTTAATCTTGGTTCCCTTTAGCAACTGAAAAACTGATATCCCTGAGAAAGAGACATCTCACCTGCCAGTTCAAGATAGTGTCGCTGGTATGCTGCGTTCAGATTAATCTGGTCATAAGTACTTTAAAATCAGAATGGTAAGTGCATTGTGCAGTGTTTCAGATAAGCAAACATACAGCTTGTACAGCTAAGTCAGAACTCTCCATTAAGAGTGGCATATTTTTTTCTAAAGTACTCATGTAGTTGAGTTTCTTTAGGGAAGGAGTATTTGCCTTGATATATGGCTACATATGGAGGCCATAGTAGAGTGGTAACAAATCTGTAAATTTGTAATACATATGCCTACTGTTTGCAAAACATCATTTTCCAATAATAGGAGGCTTCCTGACTTTTGTTTACTCATAGTTTTAAAGGCATTTAAATTTAAATATGAGATAGTCCTCATACTTTCATGAAATTATGGACTGCTTTTTTATCAAAGCATCTGTAGAGGAGAGGAACTCTGGTTTTCTTAGTCTCTTCTTGTTTTCATTACCAGAAGCATACTGAAGAAACTTTTTTTAAACTTCTCAACATTTAATTTTTTAATTATTTTTCTTTTTCTTTACATTTTTTTATTGAAGTTTAGTTGACATACAATAGAACATTAGTTTCAGGTATACACATCCTGAAAGAATTTATTATGAATGACTAAGATGTCAGAAGTACTGAGTTCTCAAATACATTGACTGTTTTTTAAAAAACGACTGTTTTTTGCTTTGCTTCTAAATTCATATAATTATAAAGATTCCAGTGTTATAAGTTTACATTAACCTTTAGGGTTTTTCTTTTATGTTTGGTTTTAAAGTTGAAGAAAATCCAGAAGGTACCATTTCTCTGAGCCAAGTTAAGCAAGAACCCAAAGAACCAGCATTGCCTATGGAAGCAAAAAAAAATTTGGACTGTAAGAAATTATCTGCCACATAAATTATTGAAGCTTTTCAGAATTTATAACTTGGGTAACTTCTGATGTCATAAAAAAGAAGGTGAATACTGTCAAAGTGTAGTATTGTGATAGATGGACTAAAAGACTAGTTCAATGAGCAACTTTGATTTAAAACTGATATGTTTGTTGCCAAGTCCATATTTTTGGAAGCTATTTTACTGCTGTCATTTTGTATAATTCTTATGCTTTTTGATTATCTAATGAGGCCAGTATTTCAAAAGACCATCTGAATTTATTCATGACAATATAGTCTAAACACAAATAGTTATATAACTCATCTCTTGAAAATATCCAATTTGGGTTCTGAAAAGACAAAAACAACAAAAAATAGTGTGTGTGTGTGTGTGTGTGTGTGTGTGTGTGTGTGTGAGAGAGAGAGAGAGAGAGAGAGAGTGTGTGTGTGTGTGTGTGTGTGTGACTGTGTGTTGACTTTTTATTTAAAAGTGATAAAAGAACTTACTGCCTCTTTAAAGTTGTGAAGAAATTCTTTACATTATAGCAGACAGGTGAGAGATTATTCATAGTCTGTCACATTAGGGAAGATAAAACAGTAGTAGATTTGAATCATAACATGAAGCCCAGCATTCTCATTTGTGGAAACAGTAGTTGCATTTTGGCTTCTTCCATTATAATTTTTTATACTTCAAACTACAAACCAATAGCATACTAATGGTCATCTAATAGAAATTTAAAGTGTCTTGGTAAGTACTCATAATTTTAACTTGAATTAATCAGATAAAATACAGAAATAAATGTATATTGCATGGATTTCTATAGTATTGTAGGTAAAGCACTACTTATGGATAGGAAAATGTAGAAATTGAGAGAATTCAGAAAGAATAACAGACTTCCCCTGGTGTTTACAGATGGTATGGGGGACTTTTTGATATCAGCAGGGGATTTTTTTTCCTATTTTGTATTGAAGATTCAGCTCTGGTTGGAAAAGAATTTGAGTTATATTTATTTTTCTATGCCAGAGTTCTTACTGAATTGATGGTATTAGAATTTATGCTATTTCAAGGTAAGTATTTGTAGTTAAAAAATTAGTTCATATTTAAAACTTTAAAACAACTGATGTGTATGTATATTTACTTGTTGAGTAAATATATTTACTCGAAATACTGAATAAGTACTAATCACTATATTAATTGTAAGCTTCTGTTTTCTGGAAGGTTGGCAAACTAGAAATGTCAATTATAAACTGTCAAGAAATCAACGTAAAGGCTTTTTTTACCCCAGGGACCATGTGTGGGTATATTTAAGCTTTTATTTTAAAATAATAAGGATTTCAAATGGATATGAATGTTTAATATTCAAAGGATATGAGATAGAATATGAAATTTAACCTTAATATTTTACATGAATATGAGTCATTTTTAGCTTTTCTAAATCCAGTCTCCCATTCTTAATTCATTTTAATTGTTACAGGTACATATGTATCTAAGTATAAAGCATCGTTATATTAGAAGTTAGTGGAACTTTAATAAAACATCTTGCTCTTTCTATTTATACCCTGTTTAATATAAAATGTATTATTTATGCCCCTATTTAATACAAAGTTAATATTTAATTACATACATGATTTTTAGTTAGAATAGCTAACTGTTCTAAGAACTGAAAATATTTGATGTGAGCATTTTAGAGGCAGGCTGCCGAAGCTGATTATGTTACTCTAAGTTAAACACAGCTCTTAATTACCTCAAACCCAGATTTCTCTTAGTCTGTGTGTTCTTAAAGGGTATAAGTCTAAATCTATATTGTAGTGTTACATTGTAGATAATATTCTTTTCATTTGTTATTTCCAGTTTATGGAAACTGTTTTCAAGATTTTAAGTAATCTTCACTTTTTATTAATGGCAATAGCTTATTAAATATTTTACCAATTTAACTATGTTCCTTTGGAGACATTCTTTTCTTTTTTGATGTTGAGTTGTTAAGGAGAAATGCTTGTTAAGATACAAACTCTAGTGAATTACCTACGAGAATGAGAGATGTTAGAGGATTCAGACTTTGGCACTTAACAAAACACAGTTTTAACAAAACACAGTTAAAAAATATTTCTCTCACTTCATTCTATGTGAATGTCTCTCTGGTACTCGTTTTTGTTTTTGTTTTTATGAGGACAGAAAGTTACAGTGCATCCTCCTCACAAACAAAAAGCAAAATTAAAAAAGAGCATGAAGGAAGGTTTCAGTCCCTAATTGTATACTCTTTTGGTTTTTAGGTAGAAACTGGAACTATCAATATTTTCATGTAAGTATTTCAATGAGTAGCTCTTTAAAAATAGTTTCTAAATTTTTAAAAATTCATGTGTCCTCTAAATGCATGTTCAGTCACAACATATCAGTATTGTATTTTAAAGGTGCTTAGCATCGCTTTTTTAAAAGTATGTTTACATATTTTAAATATTCAATTATTTTTTAAATGCACAGGGTATTAAATACGAGTGCATAAAGCTTTCAGTATCTATATTTCGCATTCTCCTAACAGCTCTACAGCAAACTTTGACATCTGCTCTTTTGTGTGATGTATTGCAAGGTGTAATCTATGTAGTAGTGAGTTGGACATTCAAAATAAACAGAAATTCATAATTACAGCTGAGCTTTTTTCATCATTGTAGTTTCCATGTTCCAAAGCCTCCCAGTGAACTTTATATATACTACAGTGAGTTATAGATAAACACTGCCATGGTGGGCTTTTTCCTTCAATATTAATTTCTCCATAAGCAGTTAACATGCTTAAAAGAAAAAGCTTTTATACTAAGTACCTTGTCTTGTTCAAGGTAAATGTTTTCTAAAAGTCACAAAAATGATAGAAAATAGAATTTGGAAGCTGGTCCTGCATTGCAGTTTCTGATTTTGAGGCCCACCAGCTTGTGTTTCATTTTTACATCCTGTCAAAATACAGACTTAATCATGTGAGCATGTGAAAGATGTCATTTAATTTGTACCAGATTTTTTAAAAAGTTTTAAAATGTGTGTGTATATACATATATATATATATATATTGTAACCTAATGTATAGTGTCCTTGTTATAATGTAATTTTTTTCATTAAAAATCCTGTGTTTTTTTTTTCTTAAACTTGTTGGTAGTTTTCTTTTTATACTTTTTCTGGGGATAGTGGTAGTTTTGTTCCTCTTAAAGATGTTAAATAAACACTTTAATTACCTGCGAACTTTGGCTAGAAATTTATGGTCAATTTGGAACTTGAAAGTTTTCCAGCATAACTACCAGTAACTACTGTTATCATTCCATTTAGGGACGTATATGCATTTAGTACTCTCAGCTCAGCCAACCATCAACATTTTTTTTTAAATTTTATTTTATTTGACAGAGAGACAGATCACAAGTAGGCAGAGAGGTAGGCGGGGGGTGGGGGTGGGGGGGGGAAGCAGGCTCCCCGCTGAGCAGAGAGCTGGATGTGGGGCTCAATCCCAGGACCCTGGGATCATGACCTGAGCTGAAGGCAGAGGCTGTAACCCACTGAGCCACCCAGGCGCCCCCAACCATCAACATTTTAATATAATGCATGTAATAAGGTATTAGTAATTCTTTTTCTCACATCTTGGCATTGTGACATCTTTAAGTACAGCTTTATATTTCTTGGTTAAAAAGGAGGGATCGTCAGTGTTTTCCGTTCTGGCTTTTCTCTTCTTTCTATTCCTTTTCTTTTCTTTTTTTTTCCTTTCTTTTTTTTTTTTTTTCCGCTTTATTCCACCTGCCTATTTTGTAGTACTGTAGAAAATCTTACTGTCTCCAGAAGGGGTACTGTATTAACTATTCCCTATCAGCTGATTTAGCTTCAGATATCTTAAATGGTGTATTGCTTTGGTATCTAAATGTCTGTAATTCTACTTAATTAACCTAGTTGTAATGGCAAAGCCTTAGTGTGCTTTTGCCATATACACATTAACTATGAAAACTATTGTTAAATAATGCAAATATTTGTTGCTGACTGAAGTCCTAAAACTTTAGGAATAAAATCAGAATCTTAAAAAAACTCACTAGTGGATTCTAAATTTGATTCTTGAGAAAAATAAATAAGTTGTATGGTAATATTGAAAACCTTTGAAAATGTGATTTGGGTATAATTGTGCAGGGGAAATGTTCAAGGGTAAAAGTTGAAATCAGTAAATAAGTTCGAGAATTCTAGTCTACAGCATAGTAATTATAATCAATAATACCACATTATAATATTCAAAGTTGCTCAGAGACTACATCTAAAAGAAAAGAATGGGGGGTAATAAAAGGGAACGAATAATTGTGTGACATGATAGTGATTATTAGCTAACTCTATGGTGGTAATATATTGCAAAATATAAATTACCAAATCAACATATTGTATACCTTAAACTTAATATGTTAATCATATCTCAATTAGGAAAAAAAAAGAATTCTAAAACCAGAGGACAGAGTAGAAGTCCGATATTAGAGTTTTTAAAAATATTTTTATTGAAGTATAATTGACATAAAATAAATTGCACATATTTAAAGTACACAATTTAGTACGTTTTGATATATGTATACATCTATGAAACTATCACCACAATCAAGATAATGAACATATCCATCACCTCTAAAGCTCCTAGTGCCTCTTTATCATCCATTCCCTCTTCTGTTTCCCGTTCCTACCTCACCATCCCCAAACAACTACTGATTTGCTTTCTGTCATGAGAGATCAGTTTGCTTTTGCTACAATTTTATAAAAATTATCTGGTATGGACATTTTTTATGACTCTTGTCACTCAGAATAGTTATTTTCAGATTAATCTGTGTCAGAATATATGAATAGCCCGTTCCTTTTTACTGCTGAGTAGTATTCCATTGTATGGATATACCACAATTTGTCTATCCATTCACCTGTTGATGAATAGCTGGGTTGTTTACAATTCTTGGCTATTACAAATAAAGCTGTTAGAACATTTGTATAAAAGTCTTTTTATGAATATATGCTTTCATTTCTCTTAAGTAAATAGTAGTGGAATACCTGGGTTATGTGGTAGGTATATATTTACATTTTAGGAAACTCTAGTGATTTTTCTGAAGTGGTTATACCACCTTACATTCCTGTCAGCTGTATATGAGAGTTCTAGCCAACACTTGGTAGGGGCTGGCTTTTATATTATAGGCATTGTAATAGGTTTATAGTAGTATCTCATTGTGGTTTCAATTTCCATTTCTGTGATGACCAATGCCGTTGAACATCTTTTCATGAGTTACATGCCATCTGTATATCTTCTTTAGTGGAGTGTGTGTTTGGATCTTTACCTCATTTTTTTTTTTTTAAACAACTTATAATCCCCAGAGGTTGGGCATTTTTTTTTAAGATTTTATT